ACATACATACATACATACATACATACATACATACACACAATACATACATTACATACATACATACATACATACATACATACATTACATTACATTACATTACATTACATTACATTACATTACATTACATTACATTACATTACATTACATTACATTACATTACATTACATTACATTACATACAGACATACATACATACATACATTACATACATACATACATACATACATACATACATACATACATACATACATACATACATACATTACATACATAACATACATACCATACATACATACATACATACATACATACATACATACATACATACATACATACATACATACATACATACATACATACATAACATACATTACAAACATACATACATACATACATACATACATACATACATACATACATACATACATACATACATACATACATACATACATACATACATACATACATACATACATACATACATACATACATACATACATTAACATACATACATACATACATACATACATACATACATACATACATACATACATACATACATACATACATACATACATACATACATACATACATACATACATACATACATACATACATACATTTACATACATACATACATACATACATACATACATACATACATACATACATACATACATACATACATATCATACATACATACATACATACATACATACATACATACATACATACATACATACATACATACATACATTACATTACATACATACATACATACATACATACATACATACATACATACATACATACATACATACATACATACATACATACATACAAACAGACATACATACATACATACATACATACATACATACATACATACATACATACATACATACATACATACATACATACATTACATACATTACAAACATTACATACATACATACATACATACATACATACATACATACATACATACATACATACATACATACATACATACATTACATACATACATACATACATACATACATACATTACATTACATTACATTACATTACATTACATTACCTTACATTACATTACATTACATTACATTACATACATACATACATACATACATACATACATACATACATACATACATACATTACATATATACATACATACATACATACATACATACATACATACATACATACATACATACATACATACATACATACATACATACATACATACATACATATATACATTACATTACATACATACATACATACATACATACATACATACATACATACATACATACATACATACATTACATACATTACATACATACATACATACATACATACATACATACATACATACATACATACATTCTTACATACATACATACATACATACATACATACATACATACATACATACATACATACATACATACATACATACATACATACATACATACATACATACATACATACATACATTACATACATACATACATACATACATACATACATACATACATACATACATAAATACATTACATACATACATAAATACATTACATACATACATACATACATACATACATACATACATACATACATACATACATACATACATACATACATACATACATACATACATACATACATACATACATACATACATACATACATACATACATACATACATACAATACATTACATTACATTACATTACATTACATTACATTACATTACATTACATTACATTACATACATTACATACATACATACATACATACATACATACATACATACATACATACATTACATAATTACATACATACATACATACATACATACATACATACATACATACATACATACATACATACATACATACATTACATACATACATACATACATACATACATACATACATACATTACATACATACATACATACATTTTACATACATACATACATACATACATACATACATACATACATACATACATTACATACATACATACATACATACATACATACATACATACATACATACATACATACATACATACATACATACATACATACATACATACATACATACATTACCATACATACATACATACATACATACATACATACATACATACATACATACATACATACATACATACATACATACATTAATACATACATTACATACATACATACATACATACATACATACATACATACATACATACATACATACATACATACATACATACATACATACATTACTACATTACATACATACATACATACATACATACATACATACATACATACATACATACATACATACATACATACATACATACATACATACAGTACATACATTACATACATACATACATACATACATACATACATACATACATACATACATACATACATACATACATACATACATACATACATACATTAATAACATACATACATACATACATACATACATACATACATACATACATACATACATACATACATACATACATACATACATACATACATACATACATACATACATTACATACATACATACATACATACATACCTACATACATTACATACATACATACATACATACATACATACATACATACATACATACATTACATACATACATAACATAACATAACATAACATAACATAACATAACATACATACATACATACATACATACATACATACATACATACATACATACATACATACATACATACATACATACATACATACATTAATTACATACATACATACATACATTAATTACATACATACATACATACATACATACATACATACATACATACATACATACATACATACATACATACATACATACATACATACATACATACATACATACATACATACATACATACATACATACATACATTAAATACATACATACATACATACATACATACATACATACATACATACATACATACATACATACATACATTACATACATACATACATACATACATACATACATACATACATACATACATACATACATACATACATACATACATACATACATACATACATACTTTACATACATACATACATACATACATACATACATACATACATACATACCTACATTACATACATACATACATACATACATACATACATACATACATACATACATACATACATACATACATACATACATACATACATACATACATACATACATACATACAGACAGACAGACAGACAGACATACATACATACATACATACATACATACATACATACATACATACATACATACATACATTGACATACATACATACATACATTGACATACATACATACATACATACATACATACATACATACATACATACATACATACATACATACATACATACATACATACATACATACATACATACATACATACATACATACATACATACATACATACATTACATACATTACATACATACATACATACATACATACATACATACATACATACATACATACATACATACATTCATACATTACATACATACATTACATACATACATACATACATACATACATACATACATACATTACATACATACATACATACATACATACATACATACATACATACATACATACATACATACATTACATACATTACATTACATTACATACATTACATACATTACATACATTACATACATACATACATACATACATACATACATACATACATACATACATACACATACATTACATACATACATACATACATACATACATACATACATACATACATACATACATACATACATTACATACATACATACATACATACATACATACATACATACATACATACATCCATACATACATACATACATACATACATACATACATACATACATACATACACTACATACATACATACATACATACATACATACATACATACATACATACATACATACATACATACATACATACATACATACATACATTACATTACATTACATTACATTACATTACATACATACATTACATTACATTACATTACATTACATACATACATACATACATACATACATACATACATACATACATACATACATACATACATACATACATACATACATACATACATTACATACATACATACATACATACATACATACATACATACATACATACATACATACATACATACATACATACATACATACATACATACATACATACATACATACATACATACATACATAACATACATACATACATACATACATACATACATACATACATCCATCCATACATTACATTACATTACATTACATTACATTACATTACATTACATTACATTACATTACATTACATTACATTACATTACATTACATTACATTACATACATACATACATACATACATGCATACATACATACATGCATACATACATACATTACATTACATTACATTACATTACATTACATTACATTACATACTTAATTGCATTACATTACATTACATTACATTACATTACATTACATTACATTACAGTACATACATACATACATACATACATACATACATTACGTTCCATTACATTACATTACATTATGTTACATACATACATTACAAACATATATATATATATATATTCTTGCTACAAATACACATGTCTTTCTGTTCTACCTTGATTGCAAAGTTGGTTCAGAGATGGCGGGATTCCTAAAGGCGCTTCAATCAGCACAGCGCACCGTGCCTATTTTCTGCTGTTTGCCGGAAGCATGCACGAACTTAATCCAGAATTGAAAAGAAGACAATGCTGACTGCGACATCTGCTGGAACCCGAGCTGCACGGACACAAGTCGGTCAACCTCCTGCAACCCCAACTCAAAACACAGGGGAACCCGGCCTAGATTTGGCTGAAATTCCCACCCCCGGTCTCCGCGGCACTGGCCTCGCTGCGGAGCCCCGTGTTGGCCCGCACCATCTGCCGCAGCACACGCTTCCGCACGTCCCCCACGCTCTCGTCCCGCCTGAAATGGCCATGGGTCAAAAGCCAAAGACACCCTGAAATGATGATTCCTCTGCAATTTCCAACGAACACTGATTTGGCCATGGGTCAAAACCCAAATCGTACCCCCAGTGAACATCCGATTCAATCCAACCACTAAAATAGGTTCTAAGACCCTACTCCTCATTCATTCCCTTTATCGTGCTCCACATGGACAACCCGGGCAAAGGATTGCGACAAAACCGGCGCCTCTTTTCCGCAGAATACTCCGCCGTCAGCACAGTCGTCGCCTTGGCCTCTCGGCGTGCAGCGCACCCCCCCATCCCGCCCCCCCCCATGCCCGCCCAGGGTTACGAATTGCCCGGAGTCTCCAAAGCCCGGCATTAAAACGGCCGACACAAACCAACGTAAAGAACAACAAAGGCGGCCGCACCTAATTCCGGTTGGGACTGCCTCTCCAATTTCATTGTGACTCAAAGGAGTGATTTGCCCGAAGTCAGTGAGCTGCGTGCACAATCCTTGACTTGCTTCGCACACCCTTATCCGTGCTTATAACATAGGTGTCCTTTTGGCCCTGGTAGATTGAACCACCGGTTAAACCAGGGCCCTTTTTTTTAAAGCAAGCCAACCAAAGAGGACACCTATTGCTTATAAACTCCTCCCTTCCCTCCCACGCTGGCAAGCTTTCATGCTTATTTCAGTGTCAACTTCCGTGAGGGATCTTTTGGTGATGCGAACGCATAGCCGGACTGCAAGGGAGGAGTTCCCGACAACTGCAACCATCGCCTCGGCTTCCGGCCACAGCGGCTCCAGCCTTTGCAAGACGCCGAAGGCGGGGCTCGAAGCACCGGACGACGTCCTTTTGGCTTACCACTGAAAACCCCAACATACCCCTCACAAAACAAAACGCCATGTGAGGATGTGTCAAGAGAAAGGTTGAAGAAAACATGAAACCCAACAATTGGGAGGAGCCGCAGGTGTTTGACGCATCTGCAAACCACACAGCTGGCCCTCAGCACCAAATTCTATTGGCTTCTGGTACATGGGTGTCTTTTTGGGGGACCCCAACAAATGGTGGTGTTCCTCTTGGTGCCCCTTTTGACACCGACAAGACCAAGGGCGACCGTCAAAAGAAACCCCCATGGCCTCGCACCCTCCCATCCAAGCCGAGAGGGCTAAGAAAAGCACAGGAGCCAGTGGCTCAAATAAATGTACCAAAATGGCCCCCTTGGTAGATGGAACCAAAGACTAAAACCTGCGTAACTCCAGCTCCTTAATTTTGAGCCACAGCCACATGGTAGCCCTGTCAGACTCAGGTCCACCCATTCATGGCTGGTCCCTTGCTACCCTCCAGTTGCCGCCGGTTTTTGATATCGTCACTCGCATGGTCTGTCGGAAAGAGGGAAACGGTCCAGTCGCAAACAAACCTCAACCTGAGCCTCGCACGTCTCGATCAGCAAATCCACAGAAGTGCGCCAGAGCTCGTTCTCCTGGTCAAACACTCCCCGGTGCTTGGCCGGAGCGTCTGTTTACAATGTGGGGCCCCAACAAATGGTGCGGGTCGCCTTTTGGCTCTCCTTTAAAGCACCCACAAAAGGTGAAGAACTTCTCTTTGGGCTGCCTTTCGAGGGGAGGGTCTGGCTTTTGTCCACGTCGCCCAACCCAAGGCCACGTGAGTCACAATCAAAACCTGGGACTCAAGCGTCCCCGAAATGCAAAGAATTGAGAGGCTGGCCGCGCCAATTTCTAATCTTCACATGTGCGGGCTTTGATTGGGTGGGTATTGATCTGTTCCCACCCCCTTTGCTCTGGGCTGTCCATGTTTGATCCCGTGCCAAAGGTCGAAGTTGTAGGTTAAATGGAAGCCCGACCACTAGACCCCCCCAAAAAAAAAAACTCAGGGATGGCCTTTGAACCACCAAGTAGAGTATGTGATAGTGAATGTTGCCCGGTTGCCCCCAAGTACATGAGAACAGCCGAATGGGGTGATGAAATCCACAAGAGAGTTTGCTTCCCCCTAAAAGTAGCCAGCTCTTTTGGTGACCTGCCAGACTGGAATCATTTCTGGATCGACATCCGGTTCCGGAAAACAGCAATGGAGTTCCATGCTGTGTGCATCGCATTGCAGGATGCCCGGACCCTCAACCACCTCTGGTTCCCCCTCCCACATGGTCGCTGTTCGCCGACTCTCCCACCTCCTGCGAGGCAGCCGGGTCGTCCCCCGCACCGCTCAGCAGTTGCTGGGGCAGCACCCGCACCTCGTCGCGAGAAAGCGATTCCAACCGTGGGAGAAAAGCACGGAAAAAAAGGGAAGAAAAAAAAGGGGAAAAAGACGACAGGTGCCATGAGAACAAACAACTTGTTGAATAGCCATGGTCTTGTTGTTTGCCTCTTAGGATCGGCATGTCATGGCTTCGCAAGGAACTGAATGCTTGCCTGCATTTCCTGCGAAAGGGCTGACCATCTAGTGATTTGAGCTGGCAGCATATCTTGAACCTGTGAACAGGCTAATTATCCCATTGGATTATACAGGGCCCCGAATCAGAACAACAAGTTCGGGTCTTTTCTGAGCCTTTCGAAGAATGCTTGGAGGCTCGAAGCACAAACACTAGAAACAAAATACACTACGCACATGTCAAATGAAGAATACGCAAAAGCATCTTGATAGACATGGGAAAAATGCACAGAACCAAATATATTCCATTCGGGCATCATAGAGGTCACCATCTTAAAGTAACCACGGCCTGGAACCAGTCAGCTTCAAATGGAAACCGCTTCTGACGCTTGACTGGGGCCATGTAAGTCGCTGTCAAAATTCAGACAGATGTAGATGGGGCCAACTTTTGTGGTGTTTCACTCGCAGCCAAAGCTCAATCCTTATGCTCCAAGCCTCAAGCCCTCCACATTGGTAGGCAACAGGCGAGTTGAGGAACTCTCAAACTTCCATTTGCTTAAGCCCCCTGGAAACAACAAACATATGTCCAGCAGTGATAGATTCCCAATGGGCGACGGAAACTTGAGAGATCCGTGCAAAACCCCTGGGAAGATACCAAAGTGATGACAGTCCGGCCGGGATCCCTGCAGATCCGGTCCCTTCCCCAATGAATCCTTGTCTTTCGCGATGGGGCTGAGTGGATCTCAGACATACGTCCCCTTTAAACTTTGAACATCACCAAAAGGCAACTCGCTTCAGATTGTCTTTGCCCAAAAAGGCGATAACAGCACAATTGTGGGGGACGTCAACTTGAAGTCAAGTTGTTCTCCACCAATCTAGGGAAATAATCTTACAAAGCAGAGATGGCATCACACGGCATATTGTTACGTTGGGTGATTGCTTGCATTCTTATAACTTAGTATATTGTTATATATATATATATATATGTTGGTGTGTATGTGTATATACATACATATATATATATATATATATGTTGGTGTGTATGTATATATATATATACCAATAAATACGTATGTATATATATGTATATATATACTACAATATATATATATATATATTATTTATATTCATTTATTGGTATATTACTACCTTGGCTTTCATCTCTAGTAGTTTCATCTGGCCTCACAGCAACCAGCCTGCCAGGGCTCCAGGCCGGCATGGCGCAGCGGGGGCTCGAGGAGAAGCGGCCCACGATGGGCGCTGACGACGGGGGTTTTGTCTCAAAACGGGCGGGGCCGGGGGGGGATTTGGGGGGGTTTTGGGGGGGGCGGGGGGGCGATTTTTCTTGATTGAGGTCTCTCTTGCCACCTGTGGTGTGTTCCATAGAAAGACGCGAAGTGGAGTCAGGAAGGGCTCGCCTTCAGGACACGTCACCGCTTGTCGCTCGGAACGGGCGACAAGAACGGGCGCAACGGGCCTCGAGTCGCCAGCTCACCAGCCAGAACTGGGCGATTCGCCTGAAGCCGAAGCGGATTTGGTTCATCAAGGGACGAGACAAACACCCCCCTAAATCGTGCTTGTGTGTTTTCTGGTTTCCCTTTAAACCTCCCAAAAAAAAAAGTGCCTGCAAAAAAGAAGCGGAGTCTCAGCTTTGAGACTCGGGAGTGCCTCCACGTCCGGGAAGATCCGCTCGACTCGCGGGGCCTTCGGGGGGTGATGCTTAGTGGACGCAACCTCTGCAGTCTCTGAGCCACGATTGGATGAACTCCCAAAATGTGGCTGTGGGTCAAAAATTGGGCAACCCCAAAATGGTTTGCCCGATCGGTAAATAGAAACAATGACCAAAGCCTGTGGTCCCCTGGTGGTTTTATTTTGACCCATACCCATGTGTAAAATCGTGAATCGGTTGAGTCTGTTTTTGCATGTTTTTGCTGTGATGAGTCGCTAGCGGGGTTCAACGGGTGCCCTTCTCGATTCCCTCTGCAAGCTGCTAACTGCACCAGGCAGACGCAAAACCATGGGCCACTGCTTTCTGAGGTGCTCAATCGTGCCAAAGAGAAGAATTGTAAAGGAAACCTCCTGAAGTCTTCCGCGAGCAACCGCTGCCCTGCAAAATGGTGTTGTAGGCTATGTCCCATTTGGGCGCTCCCTCATTCTTTCCCGCGACCCCAAGAATTGGCGAGGTCTTTTAGCTCGGGAGTAATCACAGAGGGTGAGAGACCCCATGCCACACCCCATACCTGGCAAGGCCCCAAGAATCATCACCCTGCTGTGGCTGGGCGAAATCCATTTCGGCACCACCTAAAGAAACCTAAAAATGAGTCTTCCCCTGATACCAACAAACAAATGCTTTGAGCAATGGTTTCTTAGGTGGTGCGATTTCTGGATTTCGTCCATCCAATTCATGGAGCCCTCTCCTCACATCGCCCGGGCGGATTTTCCGAGCCCTCGGCCCGCATGAGGCTGCCCATGCCCAGAGGGTCGTCCTTTGGCCTTAAGGCACCAAAAAGCGAAAAACGACAACGGCCATGCCTCAAAATCCAAATCGTACCAGTGAACATCCCAATCCAACCACTAAAATAGGTTCTAAAATGGGTGATGGGTGTCCTTGGTCCAGAAAATTGACTCAGTTTCCTTTAGCCGTGGTTATACGAACCCACATGGCCATGGGCTTTTCAAAATACAAATTGTACCAGTGAACATCCGATTCAATCCCCAATGGGTGTCCTTTGTCCAGAGAGTCACCTGAAAGTTTCTTTCCAGATTTGGCCATGGGCTTTTCAAAATCCAAATCGTACCAGTGAACATCCGATTCAATCCCCACTGAAATAAACTAAAATGGGCGGCGTACCTGCCCCAAAATGGTACTATTGGTTTTGACCCACAGCCACATGAGTCATAGTCAAAACCCGGTATTAAAATGGTCCACCCAGAACCATGCTTCAAGAATTAAGAAGGCGGATTCCCGCAGCTGTTTCTGGTTGGGATTGTCCCTTACTAGCCTTCATCTACCCGGGTTTTGAGCACGTGGCTCACATGACGAGCAGCCAACAAAGCAGAAATTGCGGAAAGAGTTCTCTTTCAGGCCCTGGCTTGCCCGGCGCCTCAAGGGACGGGCACCCTGAAAGTGCTAATCGGCAAGAATGCGAATCGGCGACCTTGTGGTGGACACCAGCATGCTAAGGGTGTCCCAAGAAAGGCCCACCACTGAAACATACTGAAACAGCCAGCAAGCGCTGGCAAAACCAGAAAGAAAACGTTTCAACCACGAACAATACAGAGTTAGATAGATGCCCCCTAATGTGGCATGTTGGATCCAATTTTTGCGGTAAGGCCAAAAGGAGGTCTGATCCATCGTGTGGGTCCACGTCCGAAGCAACCGAGCGCAAACTGGCAAATGGGCGCAGGTCGCCTCGTCGGGTGGATCTTTCCTGCGTGGGCAAAAAGCGCATCTCGACTAAGCCCATGTGGTTCGATCAGTTCAGACGCAAAAGAGCCGAATCATGAGGTGCCACAGTCCCAGGGTGAACTTGCACCCCCTTATTTAAAGCAAACATCGCCGGGCCTGTCTGTGAACATCTTATCCAGCTCCCGTACCTCACCGCCGCGAAAGTTGGAACGTGGCTGCCGGGCTCTGCTCTGCCAAGAATCTCACACACATCCTTGCCTCATCACGGGCTGTCACAGCAAGTCTGAGAGAAAAGTAATGATTCGCCAAGGGAACATAGGGCAACAAGTCCCCATGTGAGGTCGCGATGAAACATGTGGCCTCATTCTTCCCTTAGGTTCTTTTCTTGAGATGTGCCTGGGTGCGTGTGGAGCTCCCCCAAAATATTGAATGGTGATTTCGCCTTTGGTTCGGGAAGGGGGAATGCCCCAAGAAACACCAGCCCCGATCTGGTTTCCTTTAATTTGGACTCCCCTTCCGGAAGTGCGCGACGCCCGCCCCATGACCAGTGCTAAGAGGCCCACGCATTGCCCACTCTCTACAATCACGCTGCGGAGCCGGTCTTGCAGCGCCTTCGCCTCCTAACTCGCCGGCAAAGGACGGCGGCTCGCAAAAGAGGCTCGTGACTCTTGCAAGAATGAAGGATATATATTGCTTTATCTATTTTCTTTATTTCTTTATTTACATATACATATATATATATATATATCTATCTATCTATGTGCATTCAAAGATATATATATATATATATAAAGTATGTGTATATATATATAAATATATGTATGGTCCCGTGACCACCCACCCATGGTATGCGTGGGGGGGCTGGGGCGGAGGGGGTCCATTCAAAAACGTTGGCCCTATCGGCAAATAAACCCGCAGGGCCGTCACTTTGGAGCTCAAGTTGCCTAACCGACCCTCTACGGACTTTCGCGTGGTCCTCTCGTTGTTTTCTTGAAGTGGAAACCCTAAACCGTGGCCGAGCCAATGGGATTTGCTCTCACACACTTCTCACCCCGCACTCCCGCGCAACTCTGCCTTCTCAACTCTGCTTCTTCCTATTAAAACTCCTAAAAATAAACTCTACCGCCGGACCTTTGTTCCTCTGGATCCAAGTTCGGGCGACCCGTAGCACTTGTTTCTACATCACTTTACAAACCCTAAAGGAAAGAACGTCTAGATTGGGTTCCCCCAAAATGCACCCGACGCTTGCAAAAGTCAGGGGCGGGGACAGAAGTCAATAACCCGCTAGGTTCCCCGAAAACGCGCCCAATGCTTGCAATAGAAGGCGCACAGCGGGGGGGCCGGGGACAGATACCCAATGCTTGCAACAGAAGTTACCCATCATCCATCATGATTGGGGGGCGGGAACAGAAGTCAACAACAGGTTGGGTTCCCCAAAATTGTACAAGGGCGGGGACAGAAGTCAACACAACCTCGCTCGGTTCCCCGGAAGTGTACCCGATGCTTGCAATAGAAGCCACCCACCATTTCGAATCATGATGGGCGATTTCTGTTGCAAGCATCGAGCACACTTCCAGGGAACCCAGCCGCCCCTAGGCGATCCGCCATTAGGTCCGTTTGGGCTAAATGCTTGGCTTCATGATTCGCATTTGCACTTGGACACACAAGTTCTCAAAAAAGCCAGGCAGCTTTACTGGGATGGCGTTGCTTCGTGCAACCCTGTGTGCAGAAAGAGTCGTCATGCAGTTTGTGACTGTTTTGAGGAACACAAGTCATCCAGTTCAAACATGTTCTTCGCCTTAATGTTGAAAGGAACATGATGATTGAGTTCCTGGTTCTCGCGCAAGCCTATTAAGTCCCACCATGTCCCTCCCATAGGATAGACTCGAACCTCATGTGTCAATGTAGGTCCTTGCGCCGAGAAAGTTGCGACCTCAATGACGCAGGCGGGCCCTCCTTTCCTCTTCAAGAGGGGGGGACAAACACGCACCAGCGGTGTGGCAAGACTTGTGCGGCCAGCGTTGTATCAATGAAAGAGCAGCAGAAGTGACCTGATACAAGTCTTAATTAGAGAGCGGGTTGAACTTGGGTGTTCTCAAGCTTTTTGTTGCCAAAATAAGCAGAAATGGCTGGGATTGCTGCCGACTTCGCGCGCCGGAACCGCACGAAGCGCTGCTGCATTTCTCGGCAAACGCGGCAGACACATATCTTCGGTATTTTCATGACGTTTGTGTGATTCTCGCCATTGCCTGGACCTCCTCATAAGGCATATGTGTTTCGTGAACAAAAACGGGCGTGGAACTCTCCCATTCAGCGCATATACATACCCCGGCACAGCGTATGCCAACCCAGATTGCGCCATGGTTTGTATCGCGTGAGGAAATCTATGCCCACAATGCGTTTCGCCACTTGTCAATCCTCACCTACCCCTTTGAATTTCGCACTGCAAAACAGAAATAATCATTTTGTCAATTTCAACGTAATCGCCTCAAGATGGACCATTTTACCTCACGGCTTCGTTCGTAATGCGGCCCGACCTCACCATGAATGCCCTAACCAAAACAAGCTAGCGGGGTGAAATCACACACACCCTTACGTTCTTCCAGTCGGAGAGACACATTTTTACATTGATTCACCCTGAAGGATGGCTCTGCCCACCAATGAAAAGGAGCCAACGAGAATCCGAAGCCAACTTCAGGGCTGGGGCCCTGCTTGCTCTCCAGCTCCAGAAGTGTGTTCTTGACCACGAACTGGCTCGAAACGGACACGCAAATGGTTTGTGGGGGTTGGGGTCTTGGGAAAATCGCTGCGCGTTCTTAAGATGCGAATCAGTAATATCTCCCGTCGCCACTTCGACTTCGTCGGGCAGTGGCTTGTTTCTTGGCTAGAAGAGGTTCGCTTTCAACAAGAAGGTACTCAGCTCTTTGTTGTTTGTGGGTTGCAGCAGGCATCGGCTAGGCAAGCTCAATCCCTGCCAATCTAGGACAAACAGGGCTAACTCTAAAGCAAAGCCTCAAGTATGATTTGAAGCACTCGCCTATCAAAACTCAGTAAGTTCCATGAGGCGGACATTCAGTGAAATTCGCGCGCGCGATGCTTGGCATTGAAGGAGTGTTGCTATTCCACGCTTACTTGTTGCCTTGCCAGACTAGTGTTTGCCTGTGTCGTTGTTGACAAGAAAGTCCTTCTTGCTTGTTTGCATTCCCCCAACTGTTCTTGGACAAAATAATGCGTCTGCACATGCGATGTGTTTTTCAAGACCCTCGCCGCAAATGGTGCTGCATGTTCTTGGCACGAATCTGGCAAAGGCCCCGATCTATTCCACACGATGATCAAGTGTGTCAACAGTGATGGAGTGTATCTGAAAGTCCCTTGTGAATGTAATTGTTGGTAAAGCCGGTCCGCAATGGCTTCCTGTTTTAGCTACTGCGTTGCACGCGTAGACAAATGTACAAGATGGGCCTTGAGCCAAAATGGTTGCATGGAGAACAACATATAAATCAAACACAGGTGGGGGGGGGGGGGGGGGGTAGCAACACAGAACACGGGACCATATATACATATACATATACATATCGGGCATGCTGAAATCTACGTCACTGATGGTCCAGAAGGGTCCTGGATCCGAAGACCGGCACTGGACTTTCAGATCTTGGCCCAAAAATGTCAAAATTTGATTTGGACTTACCCCTCCCACAGGCCTCCAGAGAGGATTGCCAATTGTTCAACGTGCATAGTATTCAGATTCGCACCGGAGGTGTGTTGAAACCTCCCCTGCCACGGGAAACAAAACATGGGAGCGCATTACCCGGCGGGGTCCCCATCGTACCCTGCCTCATGGACCTGCCGCCATGTGCGGCCGGTCGACCTTCGACAAAAAGGCCACCGACAAGTCCAATTCTTGGAATCTGTCAAACCCCCCTGTGTTTCCTTATACCCACGATACATGGTCAGTTGGCGGGGCTTCGTTTTCTTGACATCCTTGCCAGAAACAACACTTAGCAACCAAAAACGGCCGAAGCGAACGCATCCAACCGCCCCCTGGTAAATCATGTGAAACCTGCAAGTTCTAACTTGAAATAGGAATAGAATCCCCAAGTCAGGACTTACAGAGCTCGTTTTACCTCCAAGCGAGCTCGCCAGAAAATAGGCAAGAAAGTAAACCCTGGCGCAAACACTCGCTCACTCCTATCGAAGGCGTATCTTTCTCTGGGGCTCATCCAAAGGGCTGCCCTATTTGACAAAAGGTAGTTCATTGGCAGTTGCGTAGATAGTTTCGAAGACTTCGCCATCAGGGACCTCCAATATGACGCTTTGAGTAAGGAAGCTGTGTTCACCCAGCACATGGGATGTCTGGATGAACTTCACCTGGGAGTTGGGAAGTCCTAGGTTGGTCCGTGCCTACAAGGTGGTTCTTGCATCCACCCCCCCAAGCCGGTGCCGACCCCAAGGCAACAAATGGACCACCAGGATATGGACCGCAGGTTGTCCAAGTTTCCATGTACCAGGGCAACCCATTTTGGGTACATATTTTTGACCCGCTGCCAAATGAGTCACAATCAAAACCTGGTATCAACAATGGCTTACCCACAACAATGGAAAGAATTAACAAGGCGGCCGCTCCCACTTGTGGTTGGGACTATCCATTTCCAACCAGCCATGGCCTCGAGGGGGGCCACACGCCGGCCGCCCGCGGCAGGCTCGTCAGGCTCGTGCGCGTGCTGCGCGTGCGCCCCGGATTCTGGGAGCGCAGACTGTCATCAAAAGAGCCGGCAAGCGCGGTCCCCTCTTTTACTTGCTGGTTCGATGGGCAAATGAGAAATGGAATGACCCCAAGAAAAACCATCTCCTGTGGTTTCCTCTAAGGGAATCCCCTTCCGGTTCATTCCCCACACGGGTCATTCCCTTACCAGAACGTTAAGGGGCCCCAAAACTTAAAGGATTTACTTTGAGAGTTCAAGACTGCACCAGTCAGAACTTCTGTCTGAGCCCATTGCTTCTTGGTACTCAGCGCCGGGCGCAGAAAAGCAGCGCCGAGGTACTCAACACCAGCACAGCCTGGACAAACAGATTCACATGGGTGTCATTTTGAAACCAACAGGTGACCGCAGATTGTCCATGCTTCCACTTACCGATCGGGCAACCCATTTTGGGGTTACCAACTATTTTTGACCCGCAGCCACATGGCTGTGCTCCATGCAAGCCTTTTGAGCCCAATGGATTTACCCCAAAGCCTAGGACACTCGAAGCTGAGCCTGCAGAGGGCGCAGATGCCAACCTCCCGGGCGTAAATTTACGCCGCGCGGCATGCCGGCAGGGCGAGCGCGGCGGAGATGCGGGGAAAACCAATGAGGTCCGCCGGGATCCTTGGCCAAAACGATCTGGTCAGCCAGTTAACCTCTTTTCGTGAGGATGTCGGTGCGCCAAGTGAACAGTTCACTAAAGGTAGCTCGAACTGTTGGCCATGTATCACTTGGCTCCGGTTGTTGGTGTGATTGCACCTTGGACTCGTGAGACTGAAGCTCGGCGAAGCCATGACATGTCCTCGAAGAACCCTCTTACCCTCACTGGATGTCCCTCATAAGGGTTGCACTTTACTGGTGGGTCCCAACGAAAATGCCACGTTCGCAGGTCAAAGGGGAAACTGAGGGATCCTTATTATACTTGAGGCATCCCATGCGGCGAAGATCCGCGATCGCAGCCGCGCGAAGCGTTGTTTTCTTCTGGTGAAACCATGGCGACTGGACCTGGCGAACATGACCGAAGGCCGTCTATTTGAAAGAACACGCGGGAAGCGTTTGGCTTGAACCCGAAAGAACAGCGGTTGGGATTGATGCAAACCGCCTTTTGGGGCTGATGCTCCAAGTCCACCTGGACGTTTCTTTGATGTGCCTGTGGAGTAAGCACAGCTGCTTGAATTCCAAGTCCACCTTGTCTCGCCTCCAAGAAACCACGTTCGCTCCATTGGCTTCTCACATTTGACCTGCGTTTCTGTAGACGCCTCCGCTGCCCTTGGCGCTTCCAGGCCCAGCGGCCTCCATCAGAAGGTCCTCGCCATGTCTATCACGTCTGACGTCTTTTGGCGCCAGGTTAAAGCTGTCCTGCGCACCGAGAAATCGGGGAAACCGGCACAGACATGTACCCCATGGGAAGATGCAGATCGGTGGTCAATGTTGACCAGAAGGAGGCAGACTCAGAAACCTACAACCACACCATGTTCCAGTCCTTTAGGTGATGATGTTGCGGGGCAGGAATCCCAAAAGGCCCTACCCAAAACACAAGCTGCGAAGCTTGACTTGACGAACTTACCAGCGCGCTGAGTGGGACTTGGTATTGCAAACCACTTCAGCAGCCGCTAAAGCCATGCAGCGTTCAAGCGTGGCTGGTAGCCAGCTTCATTTTCATCAAGCAAGCCAAAGTAAAATTATCCGAAGTCGACCCAAACAAACTCAAAGTCAGACATACATTAACGCTACACCAGCCCTAAGTCAACTCTAACACACACACCAACAGCCACCAACGCACCCTAACTCGCCCCAAAATCGCGCCCTAGATCTGCACATCCCCCCATTCCCCTTCAAGACTTTCTCTGTCGTTGCTCCCGCGATAGGCGCCTCATACGCCAAGAACTCAAAGCCGACCCGCTCCTTCGGAGCTCTGCTCGCGGTGTTGGCAGCACTTTGGCCGCCTTGGCGCAGGATTCGGGCGGCCAGGTCTCAGTCTCTTCGTGCGGTGACGCTATGGCAACCATGTTCTCGAGTCTTGCCCATGTACCCGGCTGCGTGCGCGGGCCCTTTTCCCAGCTCAGGCGGACTGTTCGGACTCGGATGGCCCGTCCTGGCAAGCGAGCCGTCCGAAGACAAGCACGCAAGGACCAGGCTTCGCGACCGAAGCCTGGAAACTCATCCAACGGGATGTGCCTAATTTTCATGAGGGCTGAAGACTGGTGGGATTCGGGTTGTTCTGGCACAAAGAAATGGGCGACGGCTATGCCCAACAAGTGAATGAGCTGATGAGATTCACATCCCAGCCATCTTTGATAGACTCAGACTGACATGGCCCGTCGGGGGGCTACAGGGCTGTGGGAAATGACCACTTCTGCGATACAACAAATTCCCGAAGACTAATCCAGCTTACAAAAGGGAAAAAAAAAACTTGTATCACAGAAGTGGTTGGATAAACCCCTTGAGATCCCACAACACTGGTCTTGAAAGATCCCTCCCTCACCTTCTCGCGCTCATCCTTCAGCGAGCCGAAACGACGCGCAGCCTCCCCATGCCCCCGAAAGGGGGGGTAGACGTTTGCCAGCAGTAGTCAATTGGATGACTCAAATAAGGCAACTTTGGAAATGGTGTTATCATGTTATACCAGGAAACCCTGTGCAGGTTCGGTGCTTGTTTGTTGAAGGGCATCCCTTCAAGTGCATCTGAAAATAGATCACGGGTTGCCTATCTTACTGTCTCACTTAACGTCTCCTCATGCAGAACAAGATACTGCTTCCATGCACGCAATGACCGGGACCATCTGATATTTGTGTGTGTGCTGAGATCGCGACTATCTCTTTGATGAGCTCCGTAAACTCCTGCAGTGTGCTGGTCGCAACTCCGTCTTTGAGAAGTTCGGGTTCACAACTTGCTAGACTCCGCGGCTTCCTCTCTAAGCCGATTTCAATTCGAAAACGCCCATCTCCGAAACGCAAGCATGAGAGAGTCGAGGTGAATGATAATAAGATAATAAGATACTTTTCACATTGTAGTTACACCTTCTTTACAAATATGTTCATCTTATTTTACTATCTTTATCTCTCATACGGAACAAGAATACGCACAGCTTGGCCTCGGGTATGGCCGGGTTCCCCGCCTCGAAACTGATCGCTCCGTCCTTCGAGGTGTCTGACAAGACAATCACCTCCGATTGAGCGGAAGTCTCAGAGATTTGGAACTGGAATTTTCGGCCCTCAGGGAATGACAGTTGGGAATGAACCGGAAGGGGATTCCCCAGGAAGCCAGCGATGCGTAGGGGTCATTCCCCGCACTCCCTCAAAAAAACCGGCAAGATAAGTGCTCAGAAACTTTACATCCAACTCGCGGGTGGCATCTTCAACCACATCACGTCTCTTTCCGTAAGATCTGCGTGTCAACTTGGTTGCAGACTGCTAGATGAGTCCTGGAACACTTGCAAAATGAAGATATGCGCTCGCATGCATCCGCTGCCCGTCATAGGATTCGGAGTCACAACTCTTGCCTGCTTGACTGCATACGTATACAAGGCGGTTGATCCTCTTGCCTTTCTTAGACTGCCGTATCTTTGGATTGAAATGGATCTTCTGCCTGAGCCCTTGTCCAAATATGAAAGACTCGAGCTGAGGGTTGTGCTTGTTCAAGCAAGCTTTTCAGACCCCCATCCGATCTGCCTGGCGTACAGGAGGCACGGCCCAGTCTACTTGAAGAAGGTTCAAAACAGAACGTCGCAATCCTCCACTCGGCCAGTCACGGCCAGGTTTGATCCTCGAAATGCTCTCCCCAAGCTCGCTCGCTCTCCCAAGCTCAATGGGCCCAGTCGAAACTGAAGGGAAACCAACTAGTTCTGCAGCCAAGAGGTTTCCGCCTCATCCTTTGGAGGCAACATTCGGATTCGAAGCCATCTGGCTACCCCCTGGCCTAAATATGATTAAGCCACCATTGTTTAAAAGTCATTCCTTTGTTCCTTCCTTTGTTTCCAATTACAGTGACCCAGGTCGTGGTTCAAACAAAAATGAAGGTGCTTTTTGGAGGCTACCCCGTGTGGCCTCAATCTTAAGGAGTGACTGGTTCAAAAGGGGAAAAACAAAAACTCAAAAAGGAAACCCGGAATCCACGGCTTGCGTCAACCCATTTCATGCGAAACCCCACGAATCCACCCATTTGGACCCCAACAAAACCTCAAACCCCAGCGTCCCCCCGCTGACTCGGCGGCTCGCGACTCACTCGCGCCTCCTCGGCCTCGTCGTCCGGCACAAGGCGCCGGATCTCGCTGAGGCTCACCTGAGTCACAATCAAAGCCCGGTAGTAAAATGGTCGTAATCCCAGAACCGGGCGGTACAAAAATGGTCGTAATCCCAGAACCATGCTTCAAGAATTAAGAAAGCGGAATTCCGCGACTCTTTCTGGCACTGCCCCTTACTAACCTTCATCTACTGAGGTTTTGATTGTGGCTCACCTCTGAACTGGGAAAATGAGAAGCCCTCCAGGAATTGTCCCGATCGGTGCCCTTTCTCCCGTCCTCAAAAAAATCTCCAGGCCTGCCATGTTTGTGGGAGGGAAGGGTATTCAAATGAGAAAACAAAACCATCTGGCTGGTCAAAACTAGGGTAACCCAAAGATTGGTTGCCCTGGTTTCTGGAAACATGGACTAAAACCTGCGGTTTTGCAGTGGTTCAATTTTGACCCACACCCATCTCTAGAGAACTGATTGAAAAGCGGGGAAGGCACCCATTTATGGCAAGCGGACTATCCCTTAACCTTGTTCATCTAGGTGTCCAATGTGGCTAACCTGGTATTCAAATGGTGTTGCCAATGCAAGAATTCACAAATCCGAGCCCCGCACCGATTTTTATGGTTGGGATTGTCACTGATATTCTTTGTCCTCTGGTGGGTGTCCTTGGGTAGGGGGGGTTGGTCTCTGGTGGATTTTGTTGGGTGTTTATCAACATCGGTACTTGGACCCAAAAAGAAGTGGCTCGCCTCTGCCACAGATACCATCCAAAAAAGCACACACCCAAAAGTTCAGCGGACGTCCAGGAGGGATCGCCCTGGAATCCCCAAGCGCTCAAAATGGACCTGCCATGGACGGTGCTTTGGGAGAGGGTCCCATCTTTCCAGCCAGCCAAAGGCTTAAGCCGAAGAAAACCGATTCAAACCGCTCCCACACAGCAACCCTGAGTTAACTACTAGAAAAAAGGAAAGAAAAGAGAAACATGGAAAAACCTGCAAATCAGACTGACCAGGGTTCCCTTGCTGCTCACAGCAACCCACGCTGTTTCGAAGTTGTATGGACAGCCACCTCTTGGCACCACACTTGATGCTGTTGGAACTCCTGGATCTGTCGCCCACTTCGAGGCTGCGGCAATCTGATTGCCCCAATGCCAACGCCCCCCCCCCCCCCCCCCCAATTCGCAGAAAGCGGCATGGCCATCACCGTCAAAGTCCAGCCACGCGAAGAGCTCCTGAATTCGCGGCTCGTGCGTCGCTCGGCTAAAAAGAACAAAAATCGGGCAACCCCAAAGTGGAACATGGATAAATGGAAAAGACTAAAACCTTTTCCACACAGGCAACCCAACCTCAAAATGGTATGGATACATGGAAAAGTTAATTGTGACCCAATCTTCAAGATGACAGTCCAAGCAGACTTGGGAAAAGGACTATGACAAAAGCCAAGTTGCCTTGATGCAAGTCTCCGACGCCAACTCGTCTGGATGCATGGTCGCGCCTCGCTGGCCGTGCCGTGCCAAGCTGCATTTCGCCAAATGGGCCCATGAACCTACAAACCACATGCTGATGTTTAGAGAGTCAACTCCAAGGGGTCCTCTGGATACCAGTGACAGGTGCTGCTCTCGAGTCGCACTCTGCAGATAGGACAAATGCACGGAATCCAAAAGTGCAGAAGCTGAGTCCTATATCAATTTGACCAGCCCTGCTCTGGGTTTTGCGTTGCACAACTTCCGCGTTTTCCCCTCTTCCGCTGTTACAGTTGGGTGAAAGTAGATGAAGCTCTCCGATCTTGGTGAAATAGCGATCCCCACGTACCAGGTACCAGGAATCCCATTTGGTTTAGTCATCCCCTTGCCCACAGCTACCAATTCTTGCTGGTGCGATAGGTAGGGAATGTGGTGGAAACCCAGGCGTTGGTCCCCCCTGAAAGGAAACCGCCAGTTGGATGGCTTTGAGGTCCTTCCATTTGGCTGTGGGTCGAAACCCTGGAAACCCCTGGTGAACCTCAAAATAGCTGGCAAATAGATGTTCATCCCCAAAATGGGATCGCCAGAGCTTATGCCCCGTGGCCATTTCTCATTCCCTGCATCTCTCGCACCCTCGGCCACCAAGCGCCGGGCTCAGCCACTCGCTGTGGCTCACGCGGCCGTCCTCGCTGGTGTCGAGGCCGCGCCAGGTGTCTGGCGAGAAGGGCCGCCGTCTACGTTCGCTGCCCGCACCGGACCTACCCTTCCTCCCACTAACATAGCGCTTGTGGGGAGGTACCGGAAGATGAATTTCCTCTTGAAGGGAACCCCTGTCAGGTGCCATGTTAGTGGGAGGGAGGGCAATGTTCTTCTGGCTCCCAAACCGCTATTTCACGGTGGGTCGAAAAATCGGAACCCCAAATGGGTTTCCCTGGTAAGGGGAAACCCAAGACCTGCGGTCCCCTGATGGTTTAATTTTGACCCATACCCATTTCTCATCTGGTTCCATTCAACAAGGGCACTTGATGACCAAACTTGGGACGACTGTGTAGGTCAGCCTGCAGAACAAGCTGGAGCGCCCACGAAGTACCACGCCTCATCATTGTGTTTCCAAGCTGTGCCGAACTTTACTCAAAGGAGGCTTTCACGACATAGGCTTTGGCCAAGCTGGCCAGGTTGTACTCTGTCAGTACAGCTTAGGGTTGCTGAAGCGAATGCTCTTGGGGTTTAGGACAGACCCACATTGAGTTGGGAAAGGTCCCCAGCATTCCCAAACTTGGTCAGAAGGTCTGGAAGATTGGACAAGTCTAAGAAAACCATACGGATCCCACTCAAGTTTCCTGCCAGCTTTCCTCCAATCTTTCGCTGGGCCATGCCCCAATCCCTGAGGCGGCACGCCACGCAAGCGCTGATCCCCTCGATCAAACGCCTGTGGGTCAAAAATAGGGGAACCCCAAAATGGGTTGCCCGATCGGTAAATGGAAACATGGACTAAAACCTGCGGTCACCTGGTGGTTTCATTTTGACCCACAACCAAATGAACTAGTTTCATGGGGGCTGGGGAGGGAGGGGAGGGAGGGGAGGGCAAAGGAGCCCAAATAAGCCCTAAATAAGGACTCAAGGGAAACAAACCAAACGAAACGAACGGAACCCAAACGAACCCAACTCCCCTTCCGCCCTCGAACCCTCCGGCGCCTTCCGCCGACTTCGCATCCGCCTTCCGCCGGATCTTTGCGGTCCCAAGGCGCGCGCATTGGCCGAAGGACGTCTCAAAGAAAACACGGGTGTTCACCCCGGATTTGAAAAAAAAAAAAAAAAACTGTCCTTTTTTTTTTTTCGGGGGGTGGGCTTTTGGCCCCTCCAAAAGTGATTCCCACAACCAGGGACACCCCCATATTGAGAAGCAGGGGTGTACTAATCCGGGGTCAGCACTACACCAGCATAGACCCCAGGGAGCGAAAAGCATGCCAAAGATTGCAACCAGCACCGCTGACAGCACCCCCGGAAGCGCACCTCAAACAACACCCCAAACAGCACCCCAAACAGCACCTGCACAAGAATCCCCAAACTGCATACCTCCTAGCACCTCCCCTCTTTTTTAGAAGTTAGAACCCCCTATAGCTCTCAGCTATCTGGGAATGAGCCGCAACTTGGGCTTTGCGAAGTTTCCGCAACTGACACATTACATGAAGCACGGGTCTGTTGAGCACCTGTTGCCAGAAGACAAAGAACTTTGCAGAAGGGTCGCGATCTTTCAACTCCGGCTGAATCCTTACTAGCACGAGGGAACCCATAGACTGTTCTTGCGGCTTTTCCTTTAAGTTGGACTCCCCAAAACAGATAAATCATTCCTTCATTCCCACCCGGTCTCGTTGCCCCGGAAAAATCGCGCGAGCAAGCGGTCGTCGACGACGGTTCGAACCCGAGGCACCTCCACGCCCATAGCTTCCAGGGCGCCTCACAGCGACCGCTGGGAAGCGCTGGGAACCGCTGGCGCTGGCGCTGAGCCCCCCGCCTTTGAGCTCCTCCGCGTTGAGGAAGCCGCTCTGGTCCGTGTCGGTGGACCTAGAAAAAAACAATGAAAGGGGGAGGGAGGGAGGGAGGAAGGGAGGGAGGGAGGGAGGGAGGGAGGGAGGGAGGGAGGGAGGGAGGGAGGGGGAGGGAGGGAGGGAGGGAGGGAGGGAGGGAGGGAGGGAGGGAGGGGGGTTCACAATAATCAAAACCCGGTACGACCCAGAACTGTGTAAACTAAGAAGGCGGCCGCAGCCACTGTGCGATCGACTTGTTCTTCTAATTGGGTGACTCTCGTTTCAGGGATTCACCTCACTTTGCCCGCAATGCACAGAGGGGATGGATGATCCCAGTCTGCCGCATGCCTCATAGAAATCCCAGAGTCCGAGTTTTGGTCATCGACTCGTGCATCCAGAAACCACAAGCCTAGAAACTGGCAGGTGACTTTTTTTTTCTGACCTAGATGAGGCATATCCTCTTGCATCCCGTTCCGGCCCGAGAAGTGGGACCGGGGGTCCCTGGCACGAAGACGTCAGAGCTCCTCCGGGACAGCTCCGGCTGCCTAAGCAACAGGCTGCTAGACGTGAAGGTCCAAATTGACCCTACCCACGGAATACGGACTAAACTGCTAAAGGAGAGTCGCCCCTCTTTGCCGCTCAGCTTCCGTGCTGAAAAGGAGTGAGGGGTGGAACCTTTTGGAACCTGGACCAAAACAGGTGTATCCTGCCTTCCTGGGCTCAACTTGAACCTTCGCTCGCCTGAGAGCATCTTGAGATAGAAGGGATTCAATTTCAACCTGCCTGCGCAGAGTCTCAGACCTGCTTTACTACTGAACAACACAAATGGTCGGGAAGTAGCGCCCAACAGGAACAACCCCGAAACTTCTCAAGGGACCGGCTTCCGACGGCTGCAGACACACGCAGGGTTAGTACTTCTCATTTGATGAATCAACGTCCTTCCAGCCACCTGAGACTCAGGATTGCCTAACTCGTGTGAAAATTCTGGAGTATTGGGTTGCCCCTGTTTCCTTGTGGGGAACTTGGGTTGTACCCCCGCGTCTGCAAAGAGAGAGTGCTTGTTTTGTACCCAATCAGTAGTGTTTTTTCTTTTGTTGTTGAAAATCGATGTTTACTTTATTAGTACCCTCCCACCAACTAACATGGCGGTGCACAAACCCCCCTTTCCTCTTAGAAAGTCGTCCTACAGAGGTCTGTGCACTTCCACGGAATCTTCGGTGGGAGGATGGGACTCTTTTTCCGCTCGGTGCCTCAGGTGCGAGGCCATCAGCAGCACGGCCTAGGTGCAGCGACCAAAGAGGTCCCTTTTGGGCAGATTTGGAACCTCCCTTGCCCTAAGCAGACGGAGAAGCCCACCGCTTTGCGGTTGGCTCAGGCTCATTTCAGACCGAAAGCCAACATCCGTGGTCCCGGGAGTTCAAAGTGCAGATCGAAATCGTGGAAGGTCCGGCCTTGTCAAACTTGGACAGCTCCCCAAAGGAGGAAAGACTCCGGAAGAGCCATTTCTTGTCCTGGCGCAGATTTGCTAGGTCAGTTCTTGAAAAACGCCGCCCACGTTCCCCGCAACGCAAGTGCAGTGGACTTCGAAAGATCCTGTGCAGCATGGGGTACCAACCAGTTCATCCCACGCATGGAAAGCCTCCGCCAATTCAAGGCATGCATACGGCCAGACAGGAACCCTGATATGCACCTCTGGTTTATGGGTTAAGCAACCCTCAGATGGGAAATCAGCCCTTTGGGGTCCAAAATCGCCACGGGGAAGGTTCATATATGGGTGTGGCTGAACATTAAATAGCTGGGGTTACGCAGGTTTTAGTCTACCTTTCTCTTTACCAGGGTTCTATTTTGGACACCCATGTGGACCTATCACAACGGAAGCCCCGGTCGAGCATTCCTCGAAATCAAGCTGGCCGAGGGCTCAGAAACGGCGCAAGCTGCGAAGCGCCCACAAGCAGCTTCCCTCTACTTGGTAGTTTGGAGCCCACGTGCGCCTCACGTGCTGGCTTTGCATTTCTGGACCCTTCGCCCGTATTACCCGTATTTTGAGGATCAAGGTGCACCTCAGGCATCGTTTCTATGTTCCACGCTAAACCAGTTGGCGACGAGTGGACAAGCCTGGGCGCGCAGAGAAAATCAGTTCCGCATGCTTTCCTGAGCCTCAACGGATCGGAGTTCGTGGGTTCCTACTTTTTGCAGGGCACGTTGGTCACTGAGTTCCGCTCAAGATAAATACACTACTAGTTTCATTCGCTCACACAGACTGCCTTCTGACGCTCAGGCGGGTTCCATGTGCCCCTCGGGGTCCTTCATCGAGAGGGCAAAGCCCTGCTCTCGATCTCGGACGGCTTTCGGCCTCGGCTCTGCTGAAAACGCCACATGGCTCAAAGATGTGGCCAGATCCGACCGACTCTCCATGCAACATGGCAACGGGATGGCGGCCATTGGACAAAAATATCCCTCAGCATCCAGCCGGAGCCAAGCAGCTTGAAGGGCATCCTGGGCTGCCAAGAAGCCCAACAGCTGCCAAAAAAAACAAAAACGCCACACCCAAATTCTTCTACCCCAACTTTTGGTTTCGGATCTCAACGAGCTTGTCGTCACAACTCCGGCGCCTGCGCGGTCGCACGCTGGGCCGGATCCTTTACCAGCAAGAGCTCCACCTCGAGGCGACGAGCGCAGAGCTCGCAACTCGAAAAGCTGGGTATCAAAACCGCTTCAAGCGGTTTTCGCTTGTTCTTTGGGAGTGGGGAGCTGGGGGTTGAGTATCAGTCTTTGCTCTGTTTGTTTGATTTGGGCGGATCTGTCGATCCAGTGGCCAGGAAAGGATGCCCGTAGATTGTCAAGCTGAGCGCAGCCTGCCGGCCAACCCAAAGCAGAGAAAGTCTTTGTCTTTCTCGTCACTGGTCGCTTGCAAGGGGAAATTGTCCCAGTAAGATTTAGAGAAAACGCAGCACACACTCAGCCTGTGCGCTACGCACAAAGAGTGTCACACACAAAGGGACTTACATGATAGGTCAACCGCTACAGACATATCAGACATATGGGCTCGGATAGAGCAAATGTAGGAGGCTCAATGCTGAAGACTCCTGCCAGCCTTTGCAAGTTCCATGTCAATGTCAACGCGCGCGGAAAGGAGGCGAAATGCTGGATGGGGGGAGTCAGGGCCTGTACAGAACTTCAGGAGTGTCGCGAAGATCGAAGCAAACCCATCCGCGTTCAAGTCTCACATGAGACCGCTTGTGACTTCTTGCGCCCAGCTTGCAGAAAAAGAAAGCACAAAAGTGAAAGCACGTTGGACGCCCTGACGCACTCTTGTAGTCTTTTGTTGGCTGGCATCCACAGCAACCTCTCATGCCAAATGCCCCATGGAACAAACCTAGGGCTGCTCAAGCCTTGAACCGTGAAAGCTTTGATTCTGCGTTGGCGTTGGCCCCATTCGGCTTGGCCCGCTGCCAGCTGCCGGCCCTTGTCGTCGAGAAGATGCTGGCAGGGTGCATGGTGACTTGACAAGACCTGACAAATAATACCTCTGCTGGACAATGATTCAAAAATGGTCTCGTCAACAGAGCTCCTGGACCCTTATGTCACGGCATGTTTGTTCCCAGAGAGTGTTGTTGAAGTGACAGCTTCTAGCAATGATTGGAACGATTGCCACGGAGCCTCTGCAACACATCAACGTCAAAAGCCGGACCAACAAGATCCACGCCAAAGCAGGCAGTCGTCCGAAGAGTAAGTCTGAGAAATGGATGTTGATTGAAGCCTGAAACGATTGTATAAACATGCCACGGCGAGATCCACACAATATGGTGATTCATGTTGCACAAGTAACATCCAAAGAACGTGAAAGAGGGCTACTTGCAGGTTGACCTTTCTTTGCGTAGCCTCAACAGGCATGGGCTTGACCCTGCCGCACATTGCGGTCAATGCGCAATCTCGCGGCTTCCACTCCCGGCTTCCTGGACGATGAACTGTGCAGCTCCTTCTCTCCCCGGGCAAGCCAAGGACAAAAACCTGCGGTCTCCTGGTGATTTAATTTTGACCCATACCCAAATCGCGGTCAAAAGGTCCATCTGATGACCAAGGGTTCATGTCCACCCGCCAAGCTGCCTTCAGAACCAGCCAGCCTGAAAACCAACAAACAACGAGGCTTTCATCCCTCTTTTGCCGGGTGGACTGATTTCAAAGTGACGGCTGAACACGAACCCATGAGCGCCTTGAAATGGCTCTAACGGCCTCCCCCAAACGCGCCAAGAACCGCCATGGGCTCTTGAGTGGCGATGCGGTGCATCCTCGGAATCGGAGGAATGCCAGCTGCAAGTGTCGCACTGGCACTTTGACCTTTGCTTGGTGCTGCAAGACATCAAGGATGCCTTGTTCTTAGTCCATTCACTGAAACTGGCCAATTAGTAGAAGCTAGAATAGCAAAGGCCAAGCGTTGTCGCTGTCGTTGAGACTTGCAGCATCTTGCGCATCTGCGTCGGGTGGGCTGACAGGTGAGACTCCCAAAGTCCTCAAACACGACACGTCCCAAAAAGCATCGCGCGCAACGCAGCTGGCTCTTGCAAAAAATATGGCCCAGCGAGTGATGCAAATGGCAGGCACTGTGTGACCGGCATCGGGATGCGGGGCGCCCGGCAAGCGCGTGTGATCCATTCTCCCGTCGTAGCCGAAAGGATGAGTGCCCTGCGGCCGCGGGCAGCACGCTGCCAGAGAGAGCCCATCGCACATGAGTCGCTATGCAAAAACATGCTTTGTTGTAAGTTTCGCGATCTATAGAAAACCTGAGCATCCACTCACTTGAGCACCTGTGTTTCACAGCCAGTGCTAAACTAGCACATTCACGGAGCGTCGAAAAGACAACGGCAGCCTTGTGTTCAATGCACAAGCACAATCAGAAGCCTTCCATGGAAAATCCAGACAAAAGTCACCGAGTCACTCCATACTTCCTTGCACCCTCCCTTGACCTTCCTGGATCACCCATCGATTTCAGCTCGGGCGAACGGTGTCATACTCGCACTCACAAGCTGGAAGATGCCCGCTAAATGGCTGTCGTCCAGGCTTGTTGGAACATGTCCACGCTGTGTCCCCACGCTCCCAGACCCCCCGGACCCGACCCCCCCTTGCCCCCCCTCTATGGCAGCGTGCCTGCGTCAGCTGCATGAAGACCATGATTCCGAAAGACCTCAAAGGCTCGCCACGGACCAAGTGCCAAATTGAGGTGATCTTTGGTTCGGGTGCTAAGTCGGGGATGAATTGCGCCGCCAGCCGCCAAATTGGCAGCTGATTCCGCCGCTTTGGCTGCTGGCCGATTTCGAGGAGCAAGGCCGGCGAATTTTCAGCTGCGTTGCCTCCAATCCCCTGCTGGCTGGCTGGCTGGCTGGCTGGCTGGCTGGCTGGCTGGCTGGCTGGCTGGCTGGCTGGCTGGCTGGCTGGCTGGCTGGCTGGCTGGCTGGCTGGCTGGCTGGCTGGCTGGCTGGCTGGCTGGCTGGCTGGCTGGCTGGCTGGCTGGCTGGCTGGCTGGCTGGCTGGCTGGCTGGCTGGCTGGCTGGCTGGCTGGCTGGCTGGCTGGCTGGCTGGCTGGCTGGCTGGCTGGCTGGCTGGCTGGCTGGCTGGCTGGCTGGCTGGCTGGCTGGCTGGCTGGCTGGCTGGCTGGCTGGCTGGCTGGCTGGCTGGCTGGCTGGCTGGCTGGCTGGCTGGCTGGCTGGCTGGCTGGCTGGCTGGCTGGCTGGCTGGCTCCTCCGGCTGGCTGGCTCCTCCGCCACATTGACTATTGGCTGGCTGGCTGGCTGGCTGATTCCGCCGCGCTTGTTCTTGCCTGACGCATGGAGTCTTGCTTTTCCTTGAACCGCTATGCTGGGGTCTTGCCCCTGCCCGACTTCAGTTGACCGAAAAAAGATGACCCTGGGGCCTTCCGAGCATTTGGCTCAGTCAGCCACTTCTCATCGAAGCTTGGCCAATGTTAAATGCTGCCCGTGGCGCCGTGTACAACCTTCTACATCTTTGCAGCGTTCGGGGAATTTTCTCATGGCTCCCTCAGGCCTCTCTCTGATAGAACAGTCCGCCTTCAGACCCTGGCACCAAGAAGTGCTTCCTGAAAGGTTGAGGGACCCGCTTTAAAACGTGGGGTGTGCCATGTGTGGAGTCGGTGCCCCTTCTGGAGTCGTTTGAAAGGGAAGACAAAAAGAAAGCTGCTTTTTGGTTCACACTCTCCCGTGTTTGAGAATAGGGTATCAAGAAAAACTGTTCTTAGCAATCAACAAAAACTGCTTTTGGCAATCAAAAAAGGCAGCATTTTAGGAAAAAAAGAAAACTTTGTTCACTCAGGGCTACATTCTGTGACTTGCATGGCATGTTTGGTGTTTGTCCAAAGGAAGTTAGCAGGAACTTCCGTAGCGGAAGAACATGCAACCTCCCATCCATATCCATGCATGTAGCATTTTTGGCTTGGCGCGCAGTTCATCTAGTGCTGAATGATTGCAGGCGGTTGCGCATCCTCAGTTGCCTGCGAATGCTGGGCGAACGACGGCCCTATAAAGCTGAACAAGGTCATCGCGGGGGGGTGGGGGGCCAGCCCCCTGCCCCAATTGAAAACAAACAAGGTCACGAATGGAGAAAGCGCGCGACTACAAACAAGGTGCTCTAAGAAGCTGAGAAGCCAAAAAGCCAAGGAGCCAAAACGACAGCAGCCTGATAGCCAAGCAATAAGCCCAAAAGCCGACAAACCAAAAAGCCAACAAGCCAAAAATCAAAAAAAAAAACAAAAAGCCGAAAATGCTGAGGATGTTACTGGTGATGCTGATCATGCGGAAAGCCAAAGCCACAAAATCCACGAAAACTCACAAAAAAAAAGCCACAAAAGCGAAAAGGCCAGCCCGGAGAAAACAATCAACAACCAGGGAAACAGAAAAACTATAAAGCAATACTGGCGAATTATGGCAAAAGTAATTGCTTGCTAAACAAGTTGTTTGTTCGATGTCGGAAAGTGTTCATATATGTCTACTACAGAAAAGATGATACCCGAAGTATTTCCTGGATTGCGAAAAAAGACACAAAAAAACATGTCTTTTGATACCAGATGTCTTTTGGGACGGCCGTCCCCGCGTTTCAGGCCGGAGATCTCCAACTTCAGCGCGCCGATGGGGCCGCGGGCCAGATGTCGCACTTCGCACCGTAATGGCCCGACATCACCTGCCGTTTTAGACAAAACCTGGGGCCTGACCATTCGCGGCGCAAAAACCGAAAAACCGGAGAAGAAAAAAAAGAAGAAGAAAAAAAAAGAAACGGTTGTTCCCAAGAATGATGGGTCTTCCTCTTGGTTTCCCTGTTCAACCACCAAAACCGGGTCAAAACAAATTGAGAAGCGGTTGCCAATGCATGATGCCGGAAGGCACTAGTCATTGCAAACACATCGCCTTCAAGAAACAGGAAGATGATCCTTTGGCAGCTTTGGGCAGCCAAAAAAAAGGTCTTCAATACGCAAAAGTGCACTTCGGCTCATCTTCCAATCATTGGAAGCACTGGTCTGCGAGTTGCAGTTTAAAGCAGCCTCCATTGTGAGAGATCCCCGCCCAACGGGGCCGAAACACCTTCACAACTCCGGGGATCGGAGCTTAGCAAATCCCGCAAGCAGCTGTCTTGCTGCAAACCCACCTGCTGTCAATCTCTTTTGGAGGTCCGCTGTGAATTGGAGCTATGTGGAATCTCAAGGATCATTGCCAACCCCACAACTGCGTCAAATAGCGCAAGTGGCAACCACTGGTCAGCAAAAAACACAAAATAGCCCCAGTTGACCAAGTGTCTCTTTTCAAGGAGCCCTGCTCCACCACGGGACCCGTGCCTCGGGCGCCACGAACCCTCCAGTGCCCTGAACCTCAGCCGCTCGAGGCTCTAGTCTCAACCCACGACACACAAATGGCCATGGGCTTTTCAAAAGCCAAATCGGTGAGCCCCCAGTGAAGATCCGATTCAATCCAACCACTATAGACGAAAACGAGTGCTGAATTCACCTACCCCAAAATGGTACCATTGGTTTTGACCCACTGCCAAATAACCACCACGTGATGCTGCCAAGAATATAGTGAATCAAGCGTGCCGAATTTTGTTGGCAAGAAACAAACTTTTGAGTCTGTCCTATTGCAGGCGGAGCTTGCTGTGCGCGTGCGCATGAGTGGAGGGGAGACATGGAGACATCGTCCTACGGTCCATATTCGTTGCATTTGACAGGCTGCTGTGTCCCTGTCCCACCAGTGGGGTGGGTTCGCCCTGGCCGGCCGAAAGATACTTGCTGGTGCTCAGCAGCAAATAAGCCGGAGTTCTGCTTAAAGCAAAAACCATAGGGGATGGTTTTCTTGGGGTCATGCCAACCCCTCTCATTCCCCTATCCAACCAGCCGGCCGGAAAAAAAAATGCCTCAGCTCTGCTTGGTTGCTGTTGACCCCCCTGCAAAAAGTTTAACCTTTTGGGGGTTTAGCGGAAAACCAATCTTGATTTCTGAAATCAAGTTGGGCTTTCCACTAAACCCCCCAAAAAGTCAAACTTCTTGCAGGGGTTCAACAGAAAGACTAAAGTCTAAAAAACCACAACCCAGCAGTCAGCTCCCCCGCCTCCCTCAAGAAATCCGTGTCCTCTTCATCCGCTCTGCGGATTGCGCTGAGCCCAAAGTCGATGATCTTGGCGGCGGCCCTGTGGGGGCCGTGCACCAAGACCTCGGCTCAAACGGCCGCCTGTTGAGCCCCCGCTGAGGCGCCGGAAGGAAATGGGTCTGGGTCAACAATCGGGTAGCCCCGATATAGAACCCTGGTAGAAAAGAATGATGGTAGAAAAGCCTGACATTAAATCCTGGAAGTTGGGGACAAAGGAAGATAACAGCTTACAAGGAATAGATTTGGAGGTGAGACTTCTTCATATTGTTGCTTTTCCTTGTCTTATTTATCTCTCGTACTTCATCTTTTTCATATGTTTATATTGTTTGCTAGTCTGTTTCTAATGTTAGGAAAGGAATGGCATATCTTCTTTCTTTTACTTTATGATCAACCTTTTCTTATCTGTATCTTATTGTCTTATCTCCCATCGTTTCGTATCTTAGAAATAATTGTAAAGATGAATGCCTTGAAGAGACTTCTCTAAGATACGAAAGGTAAATAATAAATGTGAAAGGAAAATATGAAAAGGAGATAAGACAATACGATACAAATAAGAAGATAATAATAATTACATGTCAAGATACGACCATAAGATAGAAAGTTGTCTACAGGAAACTGACCACCTATCCAAATAAAAGAAAAACTATTCAGAAACCAAAAGCACAGATAAAAACCATTAAATCTACTAGATTTGAATATTATAAAATAGAATGAAAAAGAGAGACTTCTCATAAAGTAAAATAAGATGAAGATAGAAGTAAATAAGATAGTGAATCCTGCATTTTTATTTAGCACAGCTTTTAACATAGCATATTGGCATAAGAAATACCATTCAGGTACTACATGTAAAGGAGTTAGTAATCCACATGCTTCTAATGCATTATCTGGATGTGAGAAGGAAGAGAACCCGGAGGTAATTTGAAGAAGATATAGATAGAGAATTAATATATGTCCATAGAAATCTTTACTAATAATGAAAGGACAAAATGCTATTTTATTATTAGTGGAATTCCTGTTAGGATTACTAGAAGATAGAAAATGTAGATTAAAAATAGGATAAAGAAGAAAACCACAAAGAAGAAATGGAAATAGAAGATGAAAGACAAAGAACCTCTTCAATGTTGGATTGTAAACATAATGTCCTCCACAAAGCCATTCTATTAAAGACGGAATGGGAGATAATAAAATTGTAATTACTGTAACTCCCCATAAACTCATTTGTCCATTCGGTAAAACACAACCCATAAATGCTGTTCCCATTAAGAAGAAGTAAATCATAATTCCGGAAAACCAAGTTTTTAGGATTATACAAATATGAAGCATAAGAAATGGAAACATGGACTGGAACCCTGCGGTTCCCTGGCCCGCGCTGTATGGCACGCTGCGCGGCACTTTGGAGCGCTCATGGCGGATATAGGGTGCGCATGGCGAGGGTAAGAAATAAAAATAAACCAAAAATTGGTGGCCAAAAAGGGAAACCCAAAGGTTAAAACGGTCGGAAAGGAAGAAGCGAGAAAACCCAAGGGTTCATGCAGGTGTCTCTCCAGCTTTGGCACGTTCCCATATCTGCAACGGAGAAATTCCTGGGGCCAACGCTTCCCTCAAAAAGCGTCTGAGAAGGGTTTCTCCGAAGAAGTTCGTACGTTTGGGGTGCGCACTAACATCTCACCTGAGTTAAACAAGTTAGAGACCGAGGCATGCTCTCCACCACACACCAACATCTTGCCATCCGAGCCCTGGGCACAGTTGTTGAACTTCAGGTCTCGGTGCACAATGCCGAAGTTGTGGCAGTAAGCCAAGCCCAACATCACGTCTCTGTACCTTGCGGCCGCTTTCACATTCCGGCACGGTGCATGCGAGGAGCATAGAGGCTGATATGCTATGAGAGTCCAACTTGTCTCTTTACCCACCTTCCGTTCTCAGTGTGCTACTCGCCGTATGCTTCCTCCCGCGGTGACCTCTACGTTGACAGACCTTTTGAAGCTGAACTCTGAAGCAGCTGCGAGTCCACCCTTTCCGCCAGGGCCCCCGGCAGCACCCTCACTTCTTCCTGGCCGGGATTCGGCAGTGAGCCCAAGAGGCCCCTGAAGCCCCCCCCTTCGGCTCCGCTGCAAATCCAGCCCCAGACTCCAAGTCAATACTTGACTGGCTCGTCCAGGTCCACGGTTCCCCCTGGGAAACCGTGTTATATTGAACTATGGGGGGTGCAATCCCAGGGTGTAATACAACAGCCCTTAGAAGAGGCCTTTGGACGTCGCCACAAGATCGCCGGGGCAGCTGAGCCCTTCTTGGGCACAAGGGTAGAGAAGTCACCCCCGTCGCAGTACTCCATGACTGCCAGCACACTGCGGCTGTCCTCGAAGAACCTCGGAGCCCTCAGACCTCTGCCCTAGCTACAGCAAACCTCCTTCGAGTGGTCGCTGATCAATTATGTAGCTTCGGGAAGTCAGCACCATGGTGGGAGGCGAGCCTTGAACGGGTTCCACCGAAAGCTTCCATCAACCCGCACTCCGGAAGCTCCACCGCGATTCTTCCTGTCGGCTTCGACCCGCCAAGCTCTACACTCATAGAATCTGAGCACGTTGGGGTGATCGAGCCTGGCATCGCAACACGTCCCAGTAGATGGCGCTTGCAAAATGCCGGAACTTTTGAGGCTGAGAACCTCAATGATCCTGCCTCTGCCTTTCGTAGGAGCATGAACCTATAACATGGAGATTGGTGGGAGGCGGGGGCAGAGGTTGGAAACATGGCTTCAAGTGAGGACCCTGATTTTGACAGGTGATGAACATGTTCGCCCGACCGTAGGATTAAACTCAACGAAACAAGAGTACCAGATTCAGAGCATGCAAGCAAAATATGTTTTTATATCTGAGAAGTTTTACTCGCAGAATGCGAAGTTGACGACATGACAGAAGGGCGTGGCAGGGCACTGGTGGTTACAAGGCTGTGGTGCAAAAGCGGATTGAAACTGAAATGCGCTGCGGCAGAACAACTTCGGCCACCCCTCCCAAAAAAAAAGGAAAAGAATTGTGCCACGCACTGGTGAGGGTTACAGGGTACAGTCGCGCAAAATCAGGACCTCAAATGACTCGGGTCCTGATTCCCGAATCAACATGAGCAATGCATGAGATTCCGGCTAAGTGACTCAGGTTGTTTTCTGTTTGATTGGTTTGTCGCTGTCGTTGGCATGAATTTGTGTGTGTCATGTGTACTTTGTGAAAGATCCGCACGCCTTGTGAGTATCTCGATCTCGTTTGCGACAAACTCCTGGGCGGAACATGGCATGCCTTGAGCTGATTCCTTGAAAAAATTCGAGATCGGTAGAACACCATACATACTTTGGATGGGCGGAATCCTGCACCACCTTAAGACCATGGTTGACAATGGTTGAAGCCATTTAAGGTTTACCGGGGAGTCTCATAGGGTTTCTCCGGTGGTGCGAAACGGGTTTCGTCCATCCACGGTACTCCCGCCTTCGTGTAGGCCTTCAGGAGCATCTTCACCGCCCGAACCTGAGCGTAACCGCGGCGCAACCTGACCAAGTGAGCCTGCCCCCAGATGCCACCAACACTACACCAAAACACGAAAAAAATCGTCGTAGACGCGCCATTTTGCAACTGCTTCCAATTTATTATTTATTTATTTTTTTCCAGTTGACATGCTCAAACCCAAGGGTGTGTTCGGGGGCCACAAGGTGCCGGCCTCGCCGGTGGCCCGGCGCTTGCAGAGGTGCCTCGGCGCGTGGAAAACACGTTGCCGTTTTGCCACGGCCTGAGGCACGACTCGCTTTCCTAGGTCCTCGAGTAGAGAGGTTAGAATAAGGGTACCAACTTTTCTCTGTGGTCCATTTTCGTTGTCGAACCGTCCCCCAAAAAAAGGGTGAGAAAGGGCACTGCCGGGGGGACCTAGTTGGCCTGCGGCTTCTGGCAGCCCGACAACCAAAATGTTGACACTTCTCCGCGTTTTTGGAGCAGGGCACATGCCGGCACTCGAAGGCTCAAGCATTCGAGGACCCGGCACGGATCCGAAGCTCCCATTGCCCAGGCGCGGTCCCACTTTGTAGACCTGCTGGAACGACCTCGCAACGCGCAACTCGCAACGCACAGCCCGGCAAAACTCTGGCTGGGATAGGCTTTTGCCTTTAAAAAAAAAAAGAAGACAAAACAAAACAAAAACTACTAACATCAAACCCACCAAGCAAAGCCGCCAAACAGGCCAAACCCCCCATCTCAGACCCTGCTAGCCAAATTGAACTACCGAAGAACCGAAGGACTCTTTCACCCCGCCTCGATGGATTAAAATTTAGCCGCAGCACGCCTTGGCTTCAAGGCTGCACAAAGCTGAAGGTACACTGTACGCGACATTCAGCATGAAAAGTGCAACTCAAAACATGGAAAAAAACACCGCACCAAAAATCCGAGACGAACACTCCAAAACTAAACGGATATTTCGACAACATGATAACACCAAATCGGAAGAGAAGAATATATTAAAAAAAAAAAAAAAAAAAAAAAAAAAAAAAAACGTCGACTCCAATTCATCTGCCAGGCTGCTGAGTTCCAGCGCCCCACTGCGCACGGAATCCACCACCAGCCGGCCTGGCAGTGAAGAACGCGTCTTCGTGTCTGTGCACTTGGTTGCTTTATCCTTGGTGGCTGTTGACTCTATCCTCTGCAAAAAGTTCTTCACTTTTTGTGGGTGTTTAATGCAAAATCCACTGTTTCCCGAAAAGTCTAAGTCCAAGAATCCAAGGAAATAGCCACACCAAGTATCAGAGGTAACCCCCGCCCCTTCAACACATTCCTTTTGGTTGAAAGTCCGAACAGGCGCGAAGGTTGCAATACATGGAGAGCAAGGAGCTGAGGCCGCAACGCAAGGTATCGTAGATGGGGCGGCCTGCGCTCATCATTCTTGCACATGCCAAATGAAGTGCCTGGAAGCTCCATGGCCAGTCTTTGGGCTATCTCGGGAAATATGGGCATCGAAAATCCGGTCCTATTCCAAGCGGTCAAGGGCCTCTGGCATGCTTGGTTTCGCAACATTCGTCGGCCTTTGGCGCTGCAGAGTTCGGGCAGGCAGTCGCCTCGCGGCTCGAAACGCCAAGAGAAACGCCACGTGCATCGTCGAAGCACGGAGTGACTGGAGGCGTGGGGAATACCCATCAAGCTCCTCAGTGTGAGGGGATTCCCAGTAGGGTGGGGCCACCCATTGGTTTAAACATGTGTAAACCACTGGTTATGATGATTCTTCCCTTGTAAAGGTGGTGTTTAAACCACATTTTACCCCACCCAGATTCCAGGTGGACCCCAAATGACAGGGCTGAGCCAGGCACATGGCCACATGGCGACCGGCACTGGCCGATGCCATGCACTGACTTCTGCAGCTTGGCCCACTTTGCCCCCGAAATCCTGCTAAGCCTTTGAGAAGGAAACCTTGGAAGGAAGCTGTGAAGGAACATCTTGCAGCTCTTCGGGGTTGCTAAGCTCTGAGTTCCATGGATTCGCGTCTGGAGCCAAGGGGCCCAGTTTCAGACGGCCGGACTGGGCGCGCGCTTCGCGGCTGCCCGCAGAAAGGCTCCGGCGATCTGTGGCACGGATTCGCACCGCCGCCCATTGCGTCCATTCGTCCCTTTGCGGCGGGGCTTCACCCTAGGGACTCACATGGCCATGGGATTTTCAAAATCCAAATCGTACCCCCAGTGAACATCCCAAACCAACCACTAAGATAGGTTCTAACACGGGTGGTGACATGGGATCCCAAAACGGTTTGGACAACCACAGCAACATGGCGCCAACTGGGTGGCCGACCTCTCTTGGCCCGTGGCTGGTGCAAAGCCTCGAGGCGCTGTGGGAAGCTCTCCCAAAGTGAAGCCCGGCCAATGGAAAACCACGCCCAAACCGGGGGTCGATCAATATTCCCTTCCGGGCGCCCAGTTTTGACCCTGGGTCACTTGTCCCCACATGGGGCATGTCATCTCTTTGGTGGTTTCCTACAATGGTCATCCCAAGCATCCCCGAAATGTTGATCTTTCCAGTCATCTACAAGGGTTCTAGCCTGGATATGACACTTCTTGGAGGTGTGACGGCATCAAGCAAGCTCCTCCTGGCTGATCCCTTGCGCCCTGTCCCATTGGGACTCCCGACCTCGGTGTGTCCGCGGAATTCCAGCAATGCGCTCGGGAAGCGATCGCCCAGCCTGGGTCTTCATGACACTTTTTGCCAAAGCAAATGGAGACCCTTCCCACCCATTAACCTAGGCTGGAATGAGGACCCCAGCAAAAAATAACTTTTTTGCCTGGTTATGTTAGTGGAAAACAAAGGGACCCCGAAAAAGAAAGGGTGTGGCTCGAAATGAGAAAGCTGGGGTTACGCAGGTCTTGGTCCATGTTTCCACTTACCAGGGCAACCCATTTTGGGTACCAGTTTTCTGCTTCCCACCCATTAACATGGAACCTGGTCCTGGTTTGGACCATTATCCTGTGAAAGGGCACCAGGTCCCTTGCCAGGTTCCATGTTGATTGGTGGGAGGGTACCCAAAAGGAAACTTGGCTGTCCGTTTTTTCAGATCCCCTAAAAGTGAATAACCTGTGGGTTAAATACTGAAACCAACTAAAAAGCTAAAAGCTAAGGAACCGGATGGCTGGGAGCCAGCAAGGAAACATTAAAGCCATCACCAAAACCAAAACAAATACCCAAAGGATGGTAGTCCAGCACCCCTGCGGCATTTTAGAACCATCCATCCAAGAAACCGTTTCGGCGTCCGAAACGATGCAACGACACGTCAAACGGCCTGCCCTGGGAGCGGCACTGGAGCCTTCCTCGTCCTCGCACTTGAGAAGTGAAACCACCCTGGAAGCGGCACGTGAGCCGGCTGAGAGAAACGAACACCCACGCAACGTGTCAAGGAGAAGCGGGGGGAAAAGCGGACCTGAACTTTTCGTGATCGCCTCATTCCCGTAAGACGACGGTCAATGCTTTGTGGACAAAGGCTTCAATGAATGCAAGGTAAAGCTGTTCGTGTCGGAACTCACCAATTTTCTTGCATGGGGTCCTGCTCGTTGAAACTTGAAGCATTTGAGCCTCGCTCGGCTTCCGCAAACATCGGCTTGGCATATGCTTCGGCCTTGACAACAGACAACGAACTGATGGCCATACAAGAACCAGGCCCACCATGTTCAGACTGTCTCAAAAGAGCAATTGCCCCAAACACCCAACACACCAGGAAAACAACCTCCCAAAAGGCGCAAGGGGCCTTTTGAGCCATTTCACCACACCACAAGCCCCCCTCAAACAAAGCCCCACCCGAAAGCCCCCCACAAAACCCCACCCTCCCCAGCCTCAAACCCAACCCCCCCAACCAAAGGCCCCAGCCAAAGGCCTGGACTGCACGCAGCTCTGCCGCAAGACCTCCTCCGCGCTCCCGCGGCGGAGCACGTCCCGCCTCGGCAAAAAACATGCCGCGGGGATGGGGTGAGGTTTGAGCCTCGTTCCTCACGGTGGAAATATGTGGCCATGGGTCCAAACCCAAATCGTACCCCCAGTGAACATCCCAAACCAGCCACTAAAATAGGTTCTAAAATGGGTGGTGAATTCACCTAGCCCAAAATGGTACCATTGGTTTTGACCCACAGCCATATGGATGTAGCTAAGCGCATGGCTGGATGTAGCTGGGCCGAAATGTATGGCTGGATGTAGCTGGAGGATGCACTGGGAGCTGGGTGGGTGGAGAGTGAGGCAATTGGCTTTTTGGGGGGTTGGGGTGTTTTCGCGGTCAGTCAGAGTTCCGGAAGGCTCTGAGAAAAATACCTAAGCCACCTTCAAAGAATTTGTGTACTGGCCCAAATGTATCCCTTAAAGGATCCTGCGAGAAGGTGAAGGGGAGAGTGACAGGGGCTAAATGGCTGGATCTGCATGATCCACTGTCGGATGGTTTGGGGAAACCTTTGGGCGATTCTATACGCAGCCCAAAAGTTGAGTGCGAGGAAGATGCACACAGTCATGTTGACCACGAACTATTCAACCCCTGATTGATTAGGGGGGTGTTCCGAAACCCCCCCTTGATAGGACGACAGATTTGTTACTCCGGGGTCAACATTAGAGTCATTTTCCTTTGACCAAAGAACCCTTTTGGGGATTCCCTGGTGAATCTTGGAATGGCCAAAACCGACAAACACGGTATAGCGATCGGCCCTCTCCTGAGTGTACCCAATGCCAGTCCCTTCACGGCAGCACATGATGCTGCAACAGCCTCCCTCGTTCCCAGCCATTGCTCTTATTCAGATTGTCGGGCGGCCCCTTTGGTCTGGATCTCGTCAACCATGTTTAGTGTCACTTCCAGCCATTCTCGAGAGAAGATTAGATTTGGGAAGCACTATTCATTGATGCTCGGCTTAGAATTCAGCTTAGCGGTCAAGCGAAGAATCCTTGGAGCTCGACCACAAAGTTTGCTCCTTCTCTACTGATCTAGTTGATACGGGTTGCCTCTTTCCCATGCCTTCCCCTTGTGACAATACGGCTTTCAGGTTTCCTCAGACTCAGACTAGTTCTTCAACACGCGCAACGGACAGATCGGCCGCTCTTAGCTTGGGCGCTTCAGCAGGGAATAGCAGAGAGGAGCAAGATCAGCATGCCTGGCCACCGGCAGCATGCTGGCCACAGCTCTCTCTCCCCCTCTCTCTCAGATTTTTCACCTTTGGTCTTGGTTGCTGTTGACACCCCCGCAAAAAGTTTTGACTTTTTGGGGGTTTAGTGGAAAACCCCTTGACTTCCCAAAAAGTTAAAGTCTAAAGATCCAACCCAATAGCAGTCAAGTGGTGCGCTCGTTTCTGGAAGCTGCCCGTGTCCAAACCACCTTCCTCGCCTTCCACCTGTCTGAGCCTGTCCTTTGCAGGGAAAAAAACAAAAACAAAAACTGGCAACCGTTCCAGGATGTTCCAATGCGTACATACTGTGGATGAACAAAATCCTGCACCACCTTAGAAACCATGACAAACCATTATTTCTTGGTATTTACAGGGGAAGAATCATTTTTAGGTCTCTCTAGGTGGTGCGAAGTGGATTTCGTCCATCCACAGTATTACCTCCCCAAAAAAAAAAACATTTTGGCACCTCCGCAGGTGGGCCCCTTCGACCGGGCGGTTCGCTCCACTCGTGTGCGTTTTCCCGCCTGGCGGGCAGCGGCCGCAGCGGCCGCTGGCAGATGCTCTCGCGCAGCTTGCCCGGGTGCTGGGCGAGCCGACGGTGCCGTAGGCCAAACATTCAAACTGCGATGCTTCAAAAGTCCTCGCCGGTCTAAGGCAAATGGGACTGATCAGACGCTCCAAAGCCCAAGGTGTCGGCCATTCTTCTTGCAGACAAAAGCTGGACGGGCTTCAGGAAAGAGTCGAAGGAGACAAGGAGTCGACCCTTCTAAAGGTTTGCGTTCTCCTGTGCCAGCTGAAACCTGTGAGCGCCCAAGAAGTTCAGAGATTCTCCCTGGAAAGCTTCGACTGAGCTTGGCTCCACTTCTGATTTCAAGGACTTCAACCCAGGGCTCTCGCTGGACTTCGAGCCATGCAGTCCACACTCTCCTAGGACTCCGCGCCGAGTGCTCCCAGGGCAGTCTCTGCGCCAAAAGCTCGTACCTTCCAGAAACGATGCGCATGCTTCGCAACGTTTACCAAGAATGGGAATGCCCAAGTGGCTCCCTTCTTGCGGGAAATCTGAGGAATTGTTCGGAGGAACTTTTTTGGCGTCCCCCTCCTCATCTCTCCTGACTCACGGAAAGGCAAGCCAACACTTGCCAAGCCACAAAATTCTCGGAAAACTACGGCTTGCCCAACTCTACCCGCTCGGCGCGCACGACCTCCGAGGTTGCATCCAAAGCCCAGCGCAGATCGCAAGGCGAGCCATAGTTCGAGGCAAAAATTCTTCGGCAAGCATCAGCCACGCAAAAGAAAGGCACGGCCACGATGGAGCTCCACAGGTGCAGGCGCTTCCGAAATAGCCCTCAAAGCTTCAGCGTGTGTAAAGAAACCAGCCAGCTTGCGGATGCTTTGCAGGCGCAACAGCTACAACGCGAAGGCCTGTGGTTGCCTTGAACTCGCAGCTCAGCTGCCACTGGTATGCCTTACGCCCGTCTGCAGCTCACCCAAAAAAAAGCATCCGTGACCTACCAAAATCGTTAGGAGGCCCTTCCACAGATCCTTCCACTCTCTGCTTCCTGATTGATGGCAGGCCGTTTACTTGTTCGCTTCGCTGCAAATTTATGGTCGTAGCACGGGAGGGCCCTGGGAAATGCTCGCTAGTGTCAAAGCGTGCAAAGCGCCCCCAAGAAAAGCGGCACTGCATGGGGGAGCGTTCTGTTAACCATGCCAGAGCTAAAAGAACCTGTCGAGGTTTAACCACAAAGGGCCATTCGCGCTCTGTGCGGAAAGCAGCGAGGCACGTCTCCAGCGACTGGAGGAAGCAGCGTGACAGCGACGGCGAGATCACTGGCAATGAAAACGCCACATGGCGTGCTGTGATCTGCTCTGCTTGCTCTAACTCATGTTGACTTGGAGCAAGCAGAATCGATCATTGCGCGACAGCTCGCAATGCCTGGTGCAACGCAGTGCTGTTGCCAGTTGTTCAGGCCTTTGGGTGCAAGCCACGAAACTGCCGGAAGAAGAACCGCTTGACCAGGAACCAACAGGAACCACCAAGCTCATCAACCAAAAATTCACCGAGCTCATCTGCCAAGAAAATGGCCTCAAACAGACCAATGCCCAACTTTTGACCCCTTTGCTGGAGAAATTGCTTGTGTGGCGCGAAGCAGACTTGATCCAAAAGCAGCCAGGCCCTTGTTTTTTGTCTTGCTTTGTCTACTTCAAAGGAATCTTTCACTTTGACCAGCGGCGTGGCCCGTTTGGGCGGTTCTGGTTGCCTTTCTGCGAGCGCCGGCACTAACACCTGGGGAACACCGGCACTAGGGCCTGCGGTCAAACCAATGCCTTCTGCGATCCTTTGCCAGCAACTCCTCAGAGCCGAGTAGCCAAATCTTGCTTCCTTTCTTGCTGGGTAGCCAAATCTTCACCTCTTTGTCGCCCATCGCGCCGAACCCGCCTGACATGTAACAGGCAATCCTAGCATGGTGGTTTACAGGCAAATCACCCAACATAAAGTAGTTGTGACAACCCCTCAACATGTCCAGTTGAAAAAAAGAAAGCCTGGTAGACATAAAACCCTCACGGGCACAGGATGACGCCGAGGGCCCACATGTCAGTGGCAAAGGAATGCGCCTGCAACATCACATCAACCGCAGACGCCGCGGCAGCTCGGCGAGACCGAGCGTCCCAAAACCGCTTCTGGGACGCAAAAGTGGATGCATCACAATGACTTCCCTCGGGTTTTTTGGGGGGGGCTCTTGGAACTCCGGAAGATGCCAACCTGCTGCCATCTGCGGATCTCCGGATCTCTCGCCTCGTAGTTCAGCAGCAGCTCCGGAGCCGAGTAATGCAGGGCTTCCACATCTGGCCTGCACACATCCCCCGTGTCCCACGCATTTCGAGCACTGCGACTGAAAAGAAGAAAGCCTGGAGCACAGCTTTCTTTCCCATCAAACGCTGGCCAAGGGGAAATCGATGAAAAGCAATCTCGCAAACCAGCTGAATACATGACGGCAATCGCTTGGAGGTCCAGTGCCAAACACAATCAAATGATACATGAAATAGTCCCAGTCACCCTACAATGAGCCGCTGAGCGCACCCCTTTTAGGTCTTTCCCGAGCTGGCCCTTCCCGTTGCACCTCTCGGGCAGGCTGCCACGCAGGACTGCTGACCTGAGGGATGCCATAAGCTTGCAAGATGGTTCCAGCAAGTGACAGAGTCCGAAGATTTTTCTCCCAAAGTCTTGCGCTCTAAGAAAGCGAAATCTTTTCAGACTGGCGAAACAAAAATGTGACCCCAGCACCAAAAGAAGGGTGCGCAGCTGCCTGGCTGAGTGGGACTCCCCCGCAAATCGCAAAAGGTCCTACCTTTCGGTTTGGAAAAGTCCGATGTCCCAAAGATCTCAGGGGCGAGTCTGTCGCGCAAAACGGCCACGGCCTTGTTCAACTTGGACACCTCAATGAGTTTTTTTCCCTTGGTTTCCCTGAAAAAAAGAAACCCAAAGGCTGCCTTCAACGGAAGATCCCCCGGCACCCCCACCCAAGGCCCAGGCAATGCCACGCCAGAGACCACCACAAGCCTTGGGCCGAGGGCTTATGGCCACGTCAGCCTGGGTCATGACGCTCTGTTGCCACTTGGGGCTGGACAGCCAGCGAGTGACAGCGTTGTTTGTGAAACAGAAACCTTTAGGCCGAATGATCTCTGAATTCAGATTTGGAAACCTGTCTATTCCCGGGTCAAATGTTTCCCCTGGGTTCAATGCATGGTTGAATATGAATGTGTGTATGTCTATATATTTGTATATATATATATATATATATGTGTTAAGAGTATACATGCCCTTGGGTACATGTCACGGTAGTACAGCTTGGTCTCACCGTGGCTGTACATGTCAAGGCCTTGAGCCTCTACAAGTTGCCCAGGAGAAAACAGTTTACTACAGCCGCGCTGACTCACATCACAGGTTCATCACATCAGGCCTTCAGGTAAGACTCAGTTTAACATGGTAGCGGAGCACCAGTGACTACAAGCATCACCACACCTGGGAAAGATCCAACCAACCAAAGTACACAGTGACACAGTAAGTGACAATGGCGGCACAAGGAAGTGCACAACAAGCACAACTGCAACAGCAACTGTCAGGAGTACACAAGTACAGAATATCACCTCCACGTTTCAGTGGCGAATACACCACATTCGAAGAATGGAAGTACAAGATGACACTTGGTTTGCAAGAGTCATCATACAACAGACTACTGAGTCAAGCGGAACAATCAGCACAAGCAATCACAAGCGACCAACTGGAACAAGCCGCACCAGATCAGGACACAGCAGACAAATGGCTACAACTCGGCGGAGATCTACACTTCCTGCTCGTCAACACATGTGACGGAGCAGCATCAACAATATGCAGACAGAACATGCTCGGCAATGGTTTCGAGACATGGGGGCAACTACACCTACGTTACGCACTGCCACTTGGTACAAGAAGCATCGGTTACCTCACCAAGCTACTCAAACCACAACTAGACGAAAACAAGTTTGAAGAGAGCTTTACAACATGGGAGTTTCAACTCGCCAAGTACGAACAAGACAACAGAACACTACTACCGGATGCAATCAAGATTGCAATCCTGCTTAACGAGACAAAAGGTCCACTACAACAGCATTTGCAACTACAAGCAGGCAATATCACAACCTATGCACAAATTAGATCACTGGTTGTGGAGTACCACAGAGCACCATCACAATTCGTCAAACTACAAGTGGCTACGAGCAGTGACAACCAAGGTCCAACACCAATGGACATAGGAGCAACATGGTACAACAAAGGAAAGGGCAAGAAAGGAAAAGGAAAGAACAAAGGAAAATACAACAAAGGAAAGGGCTACGGCGGCTACGGCAACTACAACAATCACAAAGGAGGCAAAGGAGACAACAAATACAATCAGCCGATAGGGCAAGGAAATCCGCTCAAAGGCGGATACAACAACAAAGGAAGAGGAAAAGGATACCACAAAGGTAAAGGATACAACAACTACAGCAAAGGAAGCAAAGGAACAAAAGGAAAGCAAGCCACAAACGTATGCTACAGATGCGGTCAACCAGGACACATGGCCAAGCAATGCAGAGTGGCCATTTACAACTATGACAACGGCAACATGGAAAACAACGACGTCACAGATGACTGGTACCACAACAATCACTACGATGGAAATTGCCACCAGAGTGACCAAGTGACCAGACACAACTGCATTCCAATCAGCAACAATTAGCACTACAACAAGGCAATGAACAGATGCCTTTGATAGTCTCTGGACTTGAAGAAGTGATCATTGCTACAGCAACGGTACAACAACAAGAAGGCACAAGCAACAGGTATATCGATCTCATGATCGACAGTGGTGCAGCTACACATGTCTGCCCACCATGGTTTGCAACAGAGTCACAAATACAACCACTGACACCAGAAAACGGACCACAGCTGAGGAAAGTGACAAACCAGCCAATCAAGCTGCATGGATACAAATGGGTTTGTATGAACAACATCAACGGACAACGCGTTGTCATACGGTTCTACGTGTGTGACATCAAACAACCCATACTATCAGTGACAAGACTGATAGAACAAGGATTTCAGATTGTGTTGGATGACAATCCAAGGATACACCACGACAAGGGTTTCGACAGCAGCATCACACGGTCACATGGACTACTCTTCCCACAAGCAGAGATCACAACACTGCCACGAAGAACAGAATTGAAGGTAGACAACACAGAACAAGGACAGGTGGCGATGATAGCACCAAGGAGCACAGTACACAGGATACGCAGGAGACTACTGGCAATTCAACAGCCAAGGAGAGCTCGTGAGAGTACATCGGCAATACAGGAAGACAATGTTCACACCAACACGAACACAGCGCCCGGCTTCGACAGACAGACTTGAGAACTACAGAAGAACAACGATCAAAGGAGAGAACGGCACAACAAGGACAATAGAGGATCGATACCAACATCTCGACAATCCAAACCAGGCACAGCCAACACTGTGGAAAGGAGAGACAGTGTTCAGGTTGAAGAAAGGTACAGCACTGCCTGACACACTGCAACAGCAACTGGCAGCAAGACAGCGGCAATCTCAGCAGAAAGAGATCACAACATCGAGAGTCACACCACAAGTCATACAGTACAAACCACAAAGGAGGATCACAGGAAAGCAACCACGACAAACAATACAACAGCAGCAGTCAGAGACGACTGGGACAGGACGAGGAATTCCTCATCCATCGGAACTACAACCCGGTGGAGACTACTGGTACAGAGAAGGACCATACTGGAAGCGAGCCCACGTACAACCGCACAGCCTACTACATACCAGAGCAAACAGATGATGGGCCGGACATTTCGAAGTTGAGCACGTACAGGCTAACCAAGATACAACCAGCAGCAGGAGGAAGCATCAAGCTAGTACAGGACGAATGGACAACTGAGCAATCAAAGACACACAACACACCTTGGACTAGCTGGACAAACTTCGAAGAACAAGAGCAGTACCCGGCACAACTGGAGTCAGACGATGAAGAACAACAACAGGGAAGAAAAGCACGAGCAGTACAAGCACCAAAACAGCCTACACCACAAGAGATACTAGAACACAACGTGACACACCTTCCATACCGAAGCTAGTGTCCAACATGCGTACAGGCTTGCGGTCGGGCAAACAATCACCCAAAGCAACAGAGCACGATGCCAATCATACAACTAGACTTTGCATACCTAAAAGGCTTCGACGACAGAAAGGTACATCCGATACTCACAGCAATCGACATACAATCAGGCATGATGATGGCGCTACAACCTTCAGAGAAGCAACGACTCTTTGACTATGCCGTACAACAACTACAACAGTTTTCCTGGTGGAATGCGGCAGAACAACACATGTGATACTACAATCAGACCAAGAAGACTACTTGGTCGCACTTACAAAGGCAGTGGCAAACACAATGGGGAACATAACTACACGCACTTCACTGGCATACAGTTCGCAATCACAAGGAGGCGTAGAACGGGCACACCGCACACTCTTCGGACAGATACGAACACTGAGAGCACAAATGCTCCAGAGCTACAACAGGACAATCACCATGAAACACCCCATCATGCCATGGATAGTGCGACACAGCGCTTACATCGTGAACAGATATCGGAGACCCATATAGAGTGATTGATAGTTTGACAAGTTTCTAAGTGACCAGTCTGCCGAGCAAACTCGTCCACAGCCTGCAGATGTGTAGCAAAAAAATAGACTCGCCAAAGGCGGCAGCTGTCTGTGCGTCGAGTTTGTCTGGCTATCCGCAGCATTGTTTGGCTCGCAGCCAGCAGACAGCAAAGCTGCGATGAAGAGGCCAGCGGCAACGCCAAACACGCAAACGGATTCACAAGCTTCTACAACACATGGCACAAAGAGCAACACACTCCACTGTGTGAATTTGGCGAGACCGTACAATACATATTCCCAAAGCTAGAACCACGCTTCTTCATTGGAATATGGCTAGGGAAGGATACAACCACAGGCGAATCCCTCATAGGGATATACAACAAGATACTGCGTGCACGTACGATACGACGACAGATCAAACCGCACAAGTACAACCAACAACTCTTCGACGTGATCAACATGGGGCCGTGGAATACACCAGCATCGGCACTTACTACGCCGACAATGCCGACAACAACCACGCCGACAACACTGCCATTACCACAACGACAACAGCAGACAGCAAAGCAACACAAGGATGCAACCACGAGCACATCATCAGATGGCAAGCTCAATACAGGCGAACAAAAGGATGAAGGCTTGCCAAGGAAACAACAGAGAACACAGGAGCCTACATCGCCGATGGCAACAGCCCACGAGATTACACAACGACCAGCGCTGCCAATGCCTACTACCGGCTGAAGTCACAGAAGGCAGCACAAGTAAACAGCAGAAGACAACAGCAGGAGCACCAGTAAAGGTGAGACCCACTACAGGAGAACAACCACAACGCAAAATGAGGATAAATGCAATGACAGTCAACACACGGGAAGGCAAACTCGTCGAGACAACATCAAATGAGGATCCACAGGAAATAGAAAATCAAAGGATACTACTGGAACCCATACTACATGGTACAGAAGGACTGGATCCAACCAAAGTTGCAACAGGAATGAAGAAGGAGATACAACAAATGAAATAACAAGGAGTCTAGACCGAGATAGACGGCAACACACTCACGACTGAACAATGGTCCAACATCGTAGAATCCAGATGGGTACTACGACCAAAACAACAAGAGGTGCGAGCACGAATGGTTGCAAAAGGGTACACCGAAAACGTCAGCGACAATGACCTCACCACTGTTCTGTGTCCTAAGGATACTTCTTACAATGGCATTGTCGAACAACTGGTCAGTACGCACAGGAGATGTCAGCGTAGCATTTCTACATGCACCAGCAGCAACATTCAACATCATCATGAGAAGCCAACCTTGACATCAGCAAGCGCATCAACGACAAGAGTATCACCCACAGTCTGCGCTGCAAAGTGTGCACAGTATGTGTAAACACCAGTTGCACAGGTCACGCACTTTTGTTTCACCACATGTCAGCCGGCTAAACCACTTTTTAGGGTAGCTTCATTGCCATGGATCTACTCTACCTTTTGGGTACAACGACGACCCTGTTTTTGCACTACAATCTTTCGACTGCAGTTTCACCTGACAGCTTGACAAAAGCTTGAATACATGTTTTATCACTGCAGCCATTTACATCGGTCTTGTACAGCTAGAGGGAGACACAATGCCAGGTCAACAATGGCTCATCGTGCATACAAATCCATCCATCAGCCTATTGCCCGGCTACATGCGCGCCCCTACACTTGGTTTCATTGGCATGTTCTACAGCATCATGGACGCTGTGGGATACATGAGCTGGCTTATCCACAGTGGCCATGACAGTACAGATGACATGAGCAACTGTTACATCTACTCTCGCTACACACAGCCGAAATCCTGCAGCGTGTGTACGAGAAGAAGATTTCCATTTTCATCCGCGGCTACATCGGACTTGTGCTACAGCTACATGAACATCACAAAGATTGAGAGGAACACCGGCACATTCTTTCGCATCAGCGGCGACATCAGGAATTTGTACCGAAGCTACAACCTGGAGAATGGCTACATGGTGCTACAGCACATCATCCTCAACATCGAACAGATGCTGGGTGTCGAAGACAAGTTTGACAGGAAGCACGCAGGCTTCTCCATGGCCATCAACCAGTACACCTATGCTGCGATACAGGCGGTGCCAGAGCCACTTCTTACAAGGCTCTTTCACTACATCTTGGAGAACAAGCTACAGCTGTCAGGAGATGCTACAACCTTGTCCCCCGGACAAGCTGGCTACAGCGATCAACGCATGCGAGAAGTGGACAGCGCTGTGATCCTTTCACAGCACAATGGCTACAAGATGATGCACAGCAAGCAAATTCAAGAGGAAAACAACTGAGATGGTTGTACAAGAGAATTACAATTTTGGGCCCATGTGGCATACCGGACTCAGCTACGAGTTTGGAGTACAAGCTCCTGACCGGGACATCGATGTACAAACAATCTGTAATCTGGCGAACAGTTTCTTTTGCAGATGAGTTTTACATCATCCCGAACCACAAGGTCATGACTGTACAATACATTTTAGAGATACAGTTGAAACACTGTACTCTAAGGAGGCGTGTTAAGAGTATACATGCCCTTGGGTACGTGTCACGGTAGTACAGCTTGGTCTCACCGTGGCTGTACATGTCAAGGCCTTGGGCCTCTACAAGTTGCCCAGGAGAAATAGTTTACTACAGCCGCGCTGACTCACATCACAGGTTCATCACATCAGGCATTCAGGTAACACTCAGTTTAACAATATATATATATATATGGGGTACCACAAAAATCATAGGACAAAAACAACAATAAGAGAAATTGACGGTATCTACTGTACTTGTTGACGATGTCCACTCCCTTTTCAGGCACCCTCAGATTTGAGGATTTAATTGTGCCCGCCCGCATTTCTGCACACTTGACTGTGACTGTATCTGCCCAGAAAAGATTTAAAGCCCTTTAAAGCACTTTTGGATCGAAAGATTCAAGATTCAAGATTCCCAGGACTCTAGATCTTGAATCTTGAATCCGTTTTGGGGGCCTCATACTGGATTCAAGATTCAAAATCAAAAGTCATGGGAGTCTTGAATCTCTTGGATCCAAAAGCACTTGACAGCGTCTGCTTTTTCAGTCGTTCCTGGTTGGGTAAGCACCTTATTATCGATTTGGACTTGTGCGCGGTAAATACATTGATAGTTCAGCATATGGACATCCCAGAATTGACTCAAAGAAAAGTGACTTAAAGAAACGACACAGTAAACAACAGTGTTTTGTATGCTTCGTCGCGGGTTATGTGCAGAACGTATTGCTTTCAGGGAAATTAGTTGTTTTCGCAGACAGCGTGGCATTGGTCAAGGCATATAAGATGTGAGCAGATGTTTAGTATTGGCCAAGCTGTGTGAGCTGACAGACGAAGGGGGTTTGCCGCTAAGTTAAGATGAGAGATCGAAGATGCGTAGCAGATGTTTTGGTATTGGCACAGGTTTGTAAGTGGACAGACAGAGGCTTTGGACATCAGTTGAAATGAAAGATCGAAGATGCGTAGGCGAAGCAGAAGAGGAGGTATGGTTTGCATGTTGGGGTTGATACCCTTGTGTCGGAACCCTCACAGAGATGTTGTACATTCAAATCAGGGAGGATAACAATAGACATGAAGACAACAAAGGGAAACTGCTTGACACTGAAAACATCATAAAACATCACGATTTCTATTGAAAGCTGATGTTTTATTCTGGACTGACGTGTTGAAAACTTCAGAGATGTATGTATGAAAGATTATGATGTAGACCCTGTATCACTGTACCTAACGTCGCTTTTACACCGTCCCTAACTTTGGTTTTGATCCTATGTTCAAACTAACTTGTGTGTATAAGTTTATGACCAGAATATGTATGAAATGATTGAAAACAGGATCAAGAGGAAATGACATAAACATGTTTATCAGAAAGTAGAAGCAAATAGTATTTATAGGGGTGCCAAGTTCTTAATGAATCATCTGCCCGACATCTGTCTAAAGTGTCTGACTCCCCTTACAAAAGCAGCAGGTGCGGTGTATAATCGGTGTGTATATTTATCTGTATATGGCCATATGTGTATATGCCTGTTGTGCTCAAACACGCGCGACCTGGCACTATGGACTGATGATAGGATTGGTTCCGCGCCTGCGAATGCAAAATCTCGAATACAGGCGCGCAATGCACCTTCCAGGAAAACTCGCCTATCTCATCTCACCATCGGCAATTAGGTTCATGCCGGACTCGCAGTCAGGGCGACAGACACCATCACGCATTGCCACGGCAACATCAAGCCTGCACTAAGCAAGCCTGCAAAAAAAGCAAATCAAATTGATTCACAGCAGTTGCCAGCTACGCCGGGTCAAAGGTTCGCCTGTACATGTTGTATTTCAATGACAAGGGCTCAAGTGAAGCAGTCTCGACTTGCTTCACTTAATGTAAACTATATGGTCCATATGGTGCATCAACATGCAACACGTCATTCAGGACTTCATAGGCGGACTCGTGCTTGAACACCTTCACGGATCGTGGCTTTTGGATACGCACATAGGCACGCTCCTCCACCACCTCTGCAAGCGTTTCGACTGCTAGCTCTAGCAATTCCTGTGTTTTCACCTCCCGGGGCAGTTGATGCCATGCTTGAGAGTCCTTGACACAGTTTCGCACATGTTCGCAGTGTCGATCTTGCCTGAGCTTCCGGGTCCACAACGATCCGTGATCTGTCCATTTTCCATTCACCACAATTCCACCTTCGCCTCGGGGTCGAAGTTATCTGCAAAACAGCCGTTCTGCACACCGAGCAAAACCGTCTCGCGCTCCTCTCCGGACAGCTCAGTAAGCTTGTCCCAGTACTTCTCGATGATGTCCAGCATGCGGTCATGCTGCGGCTGTATCCAAGCCGCTTTCGGCTTGGCCCGGAAATATGCCGCGCTGATTTCGGCCGGCCGTGACTCAGCTTCGGCAAGGCACCTGGTGAAGTAAGGCCCGCAGCTTTTGCACCGGATGCTCGGCTGAGTGACAGAAACACTGGCCCTCCAGCCTCGAACTTGCATTGCCAACAGCTTGTATATCTCAAGTTTGTCTTACACAGTACATGCTTGAAACCCAAGGTTCTCTTCACGGCCTTGGGCTATCGAGACCGCAAAAAAAAAAAAAAAAAAAAAAAAAAAAAAAACGGGGGACATCCCTTGCAGCCCAGCGGTCCAACAGAACCTCGCGCCCTGGCGGAGCATCGCCTTCTCAGCTCGCTCGCCCCGCTTGGGCCCCCGTGCCCGCTGCGCGTCAGCAGCAGCCGCCGCGTCCGCAGGTCCCGGTGCAGCGCGTCGCGGCTGTGGAGGTACGACACCGCCAGCAGGGCCTGGCCATTTGAGGGGAGGAGCGACTCGGCTCAATGAGCCCAGTCAGAGCGGGAGAACAATAGGTGGCCTTTTGGCAAAAATAGATGGGTGTCCCTGCCAAATGGAATAGAGCCCATCCAAACCAGTTGGACCCATCTATTTTAGCCAAACTAACCCAAAAAGGATACCTATGGGGACAGCGCTGAGCCAAGATTCGAACATCTGATGGCAAGTGTTAATCTCTCGCACTCAGACCTCAGAAAAACTTTACAGCCCACATCCGTCGCCCCACGCCCACAAAACTCAGTTGGGCCCTGCGGGGGCCCTGCAGGGGCCATTCGCCGACCAAAGGCCCCCGTCCAATATCAAAAACGCTCGGCAACCTGGGTGAACCACAGCAGCACGCGCTCGCTGCTGAATTCTCTGGCTGCCACCTCAGGGCCACCAAGACCTCCGAAAACCGCCCAGTTCTCTCCATCTTGATTGTGACGCGACAAAGGGAGAAAAGATTCCAAGGGTGTGACAGCTTCCGCAATGCCGCAAGCAGAATTCATCACAGTGCAAGCATTGCACAAAAGATACCCCACCTGCGTGCTGACAATTGGCCACGGCTCATGGGCTCCAACATTCACTCATGTCTCCGCGTGAGTCCACGAAAAATCACTCCGTCCACGCCTGCGCCGCCAGGTTGCCGCCCGAGAAGTAGTCCATAACCATGCAAAGCTTACCTGCAACGCCCCCCCCCCCCCCACCTTCGAAATGAGCTGCCTAGTCTTTTTAATGGATGTTGATGTGCTTGCCAGCTGGCACCCGTAGTCAGAACAAGTCGCTTGACCGCAGGTTTCGAAGCCGCAGGGATTCAAAGCAGGGGGGCCTTGGGGACGTGCCCAACACATGACAGGCCCGCCGCTGTGCAAGAAGCACTCCCCGATCCTCAGCCATGGGGGGCAAAAAAAAACGAGTCCAGAATTACCTCGAAAGTCAGCTTGCTGGTGCGATAGATAGGGGAGGGAATGAACCGAAACGGATTCCCTTAAGACACGAATGGTTTATGGGGGTCATTCTTCCCTGCTGAGAACCAGCAAGTTCGTGAGCAACTCTGATTGCCGTTCTTGTTTGTCGGTCCTTTTTTCTTTCAGCTCGTTGTCGTTTCCCAAAACTGTGGCAAGGCCACAGCAACACTTTACACGTTGGCATGCCAGTTGCCAAGGGAACATGCGACGCCCAAAATACCATGCTAACTCCAAATCTTCAAATCAAAACTGCGGACACGTGAAGGGGTTGTTGCAGAAGCGACATGTGTATGAACAGTAAAACTGATGGGACCAAACTAGCTGTTTGTGCTGCTGAAGAACTCGTCAACCAACTGAAAAACGACACATCCAATCAAAAAAACACATGGACACATAAGCGCAAACAGAGAGAGAGAGATGTCAAATATCATGTTGCACTACTTGTCACTTGTGCATGCATGATGTACACTACCCGACTGCAGGCCTTGAGTCTACCAGGAAAAGAGTGCATGCTGGCCACTAGAAGTAAAGTATCAACGTATTTTAACGTGGTAGCGGAGCTGAGATCCTAAACATAGGGGAGCCGAGACTTCGACATGGTGCTACAACTAGCACAAGCAGCTACAAGACAAATTGAAGATGCAGACATCAGAGCACATATACGCGACCCTACACAGGCGGCAAAAGCAGTAGACCTCTCACGAGATCTACACTACATCCTCATCAACATCTGCCAAGGAGCAGCAGCTACAGTGGTTAGACAAAACCGCTACAATGCCAATGGATGTGAAACACTACGGCTTTTGCACAACAGGTTCAGCCTACCAGTAGGAACACGCAGTGTTGGCTACCTCACCAAACTACTGGAACCTACATTCAATGAAGCACAATTTGAAGAACAATTCCTACAGTGGGAATACGACATCAACCGCTACGAGAAAGACAACGGCACAGCACTACCAGATGGAGTAAAGATTGCAATACTACTCAACAAGACCAAAGGAGCACTCCAACAGCATCTCCAACTACGTGCTGGACAGATCACGAACTACAACGAGATCAGAGTTGTCATCCTGGACTACTACAAAACCATCTCTGCATTCTTAAGAGCGAGCTCAGCAGTCGGCACAAACTACAATGGTGGGACAGCACCGATGGACGTGGACAACATTTGGAGAAAAGGAAGAAACTACAAAGGCAAAGGCAAATATGGAGGCAAAGGACACTACAAAGGAAACAAAGGAAAAGGTAAGTACAGAAGCAAAGGCCACTACAAAGGATTCGACAAAGGCAGCACAGGAAACTACAACAAAGGAGGATACAACAAGAACAAAGGAAAAGGCTACTCAGGATCCAAAGGACATGGATCAAGCAAAGGCTACAAAGGCCAAGGAAACTACAGCAAATCAAAAGGAAAAGGAAACAACAATTACACAACATGCCATCGATGTGGCAAACCAGGCCACTGGGCACAAGACTGCAGAGTGCCAGTATGGCACATAGGAGAAGGAGAAGAACTACATCCACTAGAACAAGAACAAGCAGATCACGACAACAATGATGAACTACCTCAGGATGTGAACGACACTTGGGACTGGTACTACGAAGGAGAAGAAGGACAACACGAGGTGAACTACATGGAGGAGAACTGGAACGACTACGACTATGACAACAGCTGGGATTGGAATGACAATAGCTATGAGGACATCAACGAGTCACACCTCACAATTGGACACATCAGACAAGCAAACTCACGACTACACAAGCACAAATCCAAATCACTACTTGGCAAGAGGACAACACACACAACATCATGGAACGACCACAGCAAGAGCTTTCAACAATTCCTACAAGAAGACAACACACAGCCACACTTTGATATAGCAGCAGCCAGACAACAACAAAGGATCAAGAAGATTGAGAACACTATCACACACTACATCATGTACTCCAACTTCAAGTCATACCACCACCTGCTGATCGACTCAGGAGCGTCTACACACGTTTGCCCGAAGGACTACGCACCAGACCTACCGCTACGACCTTGTGGAGAATCGGTTCCACAACTCTACACGGTTACCAACAAGAAGATTCCTGTCTACGGCATCAAGTACGTTCCCTACAGGCAGGACAACTTCAGGATCATGATACCCTACTACGTTTGTGATGTGAAGTACCCAATCCTCAGTGCATCAAGACTACTTGATAGAGGGTATGGACTTGACTTCACTCCACGACACTGCACCATCACACATGGACAACAACAAGCACACCTCATCAGACACTCAGGACTTTTCTACCTACGAGCAGAGAAGATCGACATCCCTACAGGATTCGACATCTACCCAATGACTACAGACAGTGGAAAATCCATTGCTGTGATTCAACCTACAGAGAGAGCAGCACAACAACAAGAACAAATCGCACCACTCACACACACAGACCAAGGACTACGACAGATCCTTGGTGGAAACACTGACTACTGGAAACTTGATGGTGACTACGCCATCAGAGTACACAAACGACCACGCAAAGCACTATTCACACCACACAACAGTGGTTGCCCAATACCTGAAGAAGAACTAGATGATTGGCGACTAACCATCATCAACAGACAAGGGCAAGAGCAAGAACAACTACAAGAGAACCCAACACAACTTTCCAAGCAAGAACTACAACGAAGACTAGAAGGTGACAACTGGACTGGAGAAACCAGATTCAGAAGAAAGATAACACCTACACGCAGAGCAACATCAAAGACCACACCAACAAGGCAGAGCTCACAACCACAACGGCTAATGGACACACCACCAACCAGATCAAAGATCCAACTACGAGCACCACAAAAGATATGGAGACCTAAAGCAGCACCTTCTACAAATCTTGACACCACACAACCAAAGGAGACAATCCACAGACCACTCACAGCACAGGAGGACAACCAAGACTACTGGGAAAGACAAGGTGAACACTGGATAAGACACCACACAACACTTAGAACAACTCTATTCACTCCAACAGATGGACCAGGACATCCACCAATCAGCACACTCGAACCTCACAGAACTACAATCACTCACAACAACTTTGGAGAAGTTTCCCAACGCAAAGATGACTGGACAGTCATGGGCAACGCAGCACTACCATTTCAATGGAAAGGAACAACAAGGTTCACCGTGAAGAAAGACTACGAGTACATCCAGGAGAACCACGATGAGGAACAACAACACGAGCATCATGAAGCACACAGAGCAATAGGACTACGACAACCTCAGCAGCCCACTCCACAACAAATAGCAGAACACAACTTGACACACCTACCATACAGAAATTGGTGTCCAATTTGCGTTCAAGGCAAAGGACGCCAGGACAACTACAAGAAACAACAATCACGACAACCCATCATCCAAGTGGATTTTGCCTACATCAAATCACAACAAGATCCGAAGACCATACCAGTCTTAACGGCAGTTGATGTTACTACACAACTGTGCATGGCGGTATTGGTTCCGGACAAACCATCAATGATGGACTACATGATCAACAACCTACAAGCATTCATCTTTGAATGCGGAAGAACACACGGCATACTACAAAGCGACAACGAAGACACACTCAATGCACTACTACAAGCAACAGCATCTAAAGTCGGCTCAATGACTGTACGACATTCACCATCCTACAGCAGCAACAGTCAAGGAAGCGTTGAGCGACTACATAGAACACTTCTCGGACAAATCCGCGTCGTCAAAGCTCAGGTTGAAAGCAACTACAGCATGACGATGTCCACAAAGCACTGTCTACTACCCTGGATAGTACGACACGCAGCATGGACGGTAAATCGCTACGTCATTCACTCAGACGGCTACACAAGCTTCGAACGCCGCTGGGGAAGAAACTACGAGCGAGCAATCTGGTCCTACTCAAGCACATCGGCTACCTCGAACCTGGCAAACCACAACAATTTCTTGGAAGAAACATCGACCACTTCGGCAACTACTGCAACCTGGGACTAAAGGACTCCTACATCGACAACATGATCGAGGAGTCTGGAATGAACAACTGCAACCCAGTGAACACTCCAGGAATTGCACACTACAAACCGACAATAAAAGATGAAGCACTACTTGACCACGAACAACACAAAAGGTACAGAAGGATTGTTGGCAAACTACAATGGTTAGCATACACACGACCAGACATCGCGTACTCCACAAAAGAACTAGCACGAGACCTCACAGCACCTACAGAACTCTCACAAAAGAGAGTCAAACATCTACTACGTTACTTGAACGGCACCAAGCACTACAAATTCACCATAGAACCAACAACAACACTCAGAGCAAACACTAACAACATCCTGGATCTCGACGTTCATGTCGATGCCGACTGGGCAGGATGCCCTACTACCAGGAAATCAACTTCAGGTTTCAACATCATCTTTTTAGGAACAACAGTTGCATTTGGCAGCAGAACACAAGCTACAATAGCACTCAGCTCAGCAGAGTCTGAACTCTACGCCATTTGCACAGGAGTTAATGAGGGACTACACCTCAGAAACTTCCTACTTGAAACCAACATTTGCAGCAAGCTAAATCTACGCATCCACACAGACTCCACAGCAGGCAAGAGCATTGCTACACGACAAGGCACTAGCAAACGAGCAAAACACATCGACCTTAAATTTCTCTACACACAAGACCTCATCAAGCACGACATCATCAGAATCCTCAAAATCAACACACTACACAACAGCTCAGACTTGTTCACAAAATACATTAGCAAAGAAACACTACAGAGGCTCATACAGAGCATTGGCATACGTGTTTAGCACTACGAACAACAACTGTTTCACAACTGTTGCACATCAATCACAACAGTTTGTATATGGCCATATGTAACTACCTGCATTTAAGTAACAGTAACAGTAACAGTGACTACAAGTAATAGTAATTGTAACCACCAGTAATTTGCACTTGCACTTTTGGCGGCTTTTGGCGGCTTGAGTCAACACTACATGTTGTTTTGTGTTTTACTACATGCCCGCATGTGCTTTTGTGAGCTAACATTGGCTCACTACTGTCTGCCCCGTTTCACTGCATCTCGATAGGCCGAACTACCAGCAATGGCTGGAACTACGCCCATGGATGCGACTACGCTGGATGTCATGCCGATGGAGGTTACTACATCAGCGCCAGAGACTACTCTGCCCGTCGAACAACAGGCTGGCAGTACTACACCGGACCGTGTTTTCACACCACCGGATCGGCAGGGCACTACCGACTCCGGCAGCATGGCTACTTTGGCCACTCCACCACCTGAGGCCTACAACTCCCTCAACTACAACTTCAACCACCAACTACCCACACCGGCACCTTTCTACAGACCCGACGACATCTTGGCACACCTCACTACAACTGAGAACAACATCCCCGACACTCCAGCGATCGACCCGGAGCAGAACTACTTCAGGGTCTACGCGGCTTTGACGCTCGAGGAGTTCCAACTACTAAGTCAACAACAAACTACACCCATCCCCGAGCTCAACTACAACCTACCAGTTCACGACCTACCTTCAGACCTACGGATGCCACACTACGACTCACTACCTCTTCACCTACGTCTTTCAGAGGCAGTCAACTTCTACTACTACAACCTTACATCACTACACCTCACAACCCAGTACACCAACTCGATGGTCATCATCCAACTACACATTCCACCAGAAGTTCTACTACGATTTGTCAGCGCTGGACAACTCGTCAACTTCTGCCGCGACTACGTGAGCCACATGATTTCCATCAAAGATGAGCACCACCTACCTACACGCCAGCTACATCAACGACTACACCGAATCACCTACAACTTGGACCAGATCACCACTACATTCAACCTGTCCAACAACTTCATTTGGAACTATCACATGCCCCTGTACCTACCAGAACTACTCAACTACTTCGACCAACCACAACAACTTCAAGACCACCACTACAAGTCCATCAACACGATGCTACACAAAAGTGTCACCTACTACGGCATCACCCTCCTCACGGCTACAAATCTTTCCATGCAACACAAACTACTACTCCACAACTACCTCACTACCACCGGCCAAGCACTTGCACCACCGGAATGCGACTACAACCGCCTTCGTGGCGGTCCAGACTTCCTCAACACATTCACTACCAACCACTATGCAGGCTTGGACTACCGCATCAGCCAAGTCCAGAACTACCGAGTCCAACACTGGACTAAGCACACCTGATCTCCAGGTGGAGCTGCAACTACGTGCTGTACTACGTCATCGTACTACGAGATGACTGAGAACCAACTAGGGTTCTTGTACAGCAATTTCACTTTTCTGATCATTTGAAGGTTAGTTGAACTACAGACAGCAGCGCTGTAGATACCTACCTTCGGTCATCTTTTTTAAGAGACTACATGCCTGTTCGCTACAGTAGCATCGGCAAACAACATGTGCATTCGTTTTTTGCCACTACTGTCAATACCACCTTTTGGGTCTATGGTTAAAGGACACTACAAGGTCTTTTAACCAAGGGGCCGTGTCAAATATCATGTTTCACTACTTGTCACTTGTGCATGCATGATGTACACTACCCGACTGCAGGCCTTGAGTCTACCAGGAAAAGAGTGCATGCTGGCTGACTACATTTGTGTTTGTGATAACTGAACAACACTTGCACTAGAAGTAAAGTATCAACGTATTCTAACGAGAGAGAGAGAGAGAGATGGACAGACACAGACACAGATGAAAAAGTAGACGCAGCCACTTGACAACCCTTCACGGGCCCTGAGCATGGGCATCTCGGATAGGTGAGCTCAATACATCTCGTGCTGAAGGAAATATCCATTTCGCGAAAATGCTGGATGCCCCCACTGCCAGAAGTTGTGCTTTTCACGCGACACACGCACACACACACACACAAAAAAAACTAGAGGACGATTGGCCCGAAAGCATTTTTCCCCAGCTCCTCATCCAGCCGCGGAGACATTTTTTTACATCGCTGCGGCGAGCGTGTCCGCGCGCGGCGATGCTCAATGTGTATGGTCGCATGAGAGCTCCATCCCATCGTCCTACGAGAGGAAACATGGCAGTGCTCGATCCCACATATTTACATCCGTTAAAACAAGAAGAGTAAAGCTCGTAAAGCTCGAAACGAATGACAAGCAAAAGGAAAAGCAATCAGTAGCAAAGCTTACACGACGGCCACAGATTCTGCAAAGCACGCTCGCGCAACTTAGCTCTGTGCAAGATGGCTCTGCGCAGCTTGGCTCTGTGAAAGTTGGGTCTACGCAAGCTACTTTTCGCGAGTGGCTCTGCGCAACTGGCTCTGTGCAACTTGGCTCTGCACGAGTCTGCTCGGCGCAATGTGCTTTGCACGAACTGCGCCGCGCGACTTCTCACGAAAGTGGTCTGCGCAAGCTGCATCGTTCCAGGCTGCTGCGCGCAAGTTGCTCTCTGCACGCAAGCGCTCTATGCAAGTTGCTCTGCGCAAGTGCTCTGAGCAAGTTGCTCTGCGCAAGTGCTCTGGCGCCAGTTACTCCGTGCAAGCGCTTTGCGCATGTGCTCTGTGCAAGTTGGTCTGTGCAAGTTGCTCTGCGCAAGTGCTTTGTGCAAGTGCTCTGTGCAAGTTGCTCTGCGCAAGTTGCTCTGCGCAAGTGACTCTGCGCAAGTTGCTCTGAGCAAGTGCTGCCGGAGCTGTGGGAATGTACTTCGCGTACCATTTTTTGTACTTAAAAGTTGCGATTTTCCAGCCGGAGCTGCGGGAGTGTGCTCCGCGTACTACGTTTGTACTTAAAAGTTGCGATTTTCCAGCCGGAGCCGCGGGAGCACGCTCCGCATACTACGTCTGTACTTAAAAGTTGCGATTTTCCAGCCGGAGCTGCGGGAGCACGCTCCGCGTACTGCGTTTGTACTTAAAAGTTGCGATTTTCCAGCCGGAGCTGCGGGAGCACGCTCCGCATACTACGTCTGTACTTAAAAGTTGCGATTTTCCAGCCGGAGCTGCAGGAGCACGCTCCGCATACTATGTTTTTGTACTTAAAAGCTGCGATTTTCAAGCCGGAGCTGCCGCGGACCAGGGGGGAATCGAACCCGGGACCGCGGGATTGCGAAAGCAGGCGCGCAAACCACGAGACAACTTCCAAAAGGCCGTTTCGCGAGCAAGAAAATCGCACGGCGCCACAGCGAGAGCGATTCGACAAGCACGATCCCCGCAGAGGGTGCGCCAGGATCCAGACAGATTCGCACGGGACCACAGCGAGAGCGATCCGACACGCATGATCCCCGCAGAGGGTTCATCGGGCTTCCGACAAGCACGATCCCTGCTACAAAGTGCGCCAGGGTCCAGACAGATTCGCACGGGACCACAGCGAGAGCGATCCGACACGCACGATCCCCGCAGAGGGTTCGCCGAGGTCAAGACAAATTCGCACGGCGCCACAGCGAGAGCGATCCGACACGCACGATCTCCGCAGAGGGTACGTTTCGTAAGCTCCCGTCGGGCCTACCCCCGCCATAAAAAGAAGAAGAATTAAGAGTCGAGATGTGAAGGTAGAAAAGAAAAGTTAGCCTGTGTTTTTAGGATAATGAGATAACACCCGAAAAGTCAAGATGTGAAGGTAGAGAAGAAAAGTTAGCTTGTGTTTTTAGAATAATGAGATAACACCCGAAAAGTTGACATGAGAAGTTGGCTGGTGAAGTAACTCTCGACAAGCTGGCATGAGAAGTTGGCAGGTGAGGTAACTCTCGAAAAGTTGGCATGAGAAGTTGGCAGGTGAAGTAACTCTCGAAAAGTTGGCATGACAAGTTGGCAGATGAAATAACTCTCGAAAAGTTGGCAAGAGAAGTTGGCAAGTGAAATAACTCTCGAAAAGTTGACATGAGAAGTTGGCAGGTGAAGTTTGCAGCCGCTTTTAGAAGAAGAACCCTTCGCAATGCTTCCGGGAAAAAACAAAAAACACAGACATGCACATGCACGCATACATATGCCTTGCTTGTCCTTCTCGCTCCCCCCATGCAACCGATTCGAGATTCCCCTGGCCACATGGTTATGGTTGACAGGGGTCTACCCCAAAACCGTGATAAAGAATCCAAAGGCGAGAGTTTGTACGTATCTTGCCGTTGATTGCGACGGCCACCTCAGGGGTCTTTATGCCTTTCAAAGATCGCCCCACAAGGAGTCCAATCTTAGAACGAGCCCCAGCCATTTAGCTCGGACCAACCTCAGGATCTCTCTACCTATCGGCGAGCTGCGGCGCCAGGTGGGGATGCCGCAGCTGCGCGAGCCGCCGCAGCTCCTGCAGCATCTCCCCCCGCGCCCCCGCGCCCAGACCCGAAACCTCGGCAGCTCGCGCGGGGGCGAAAAGGATGGAGGAAGCAGATCCCGGCCACAAAAGCCACAGAAGCCTATAGCTTGCTTGTCCCGTTGCCGGTGGATTCAGTTATTTGATTCATTTGGATGTGCTTCTAGAATGAATGCTTGTGAGCTGTGTTTGTTGCTTGGTTTCGTTTGTTCGCAGAAGGAAAATAATGATTCGCGCACCGGAGGCATTTTCAGGGAACTAAAATAAGATCTTACCTCTGCCGGTCTCAGACTACTGCGTGGGACCGTGCGCTACTCACTCTACACTCTGGGTGCGTGGCATCAATGGCCTTCATCATTGCCAACTTGTTGTGCTCCACATCTTTGACAAGGAGCGAGATTCCGAAGCGACCTAGTCTCAAACTGAACGTCTGGCCTACGCATGATGCTAAACACAGCACCTGGCCTGCGCTGATGTTGCGCACGCACTCATATCTACGAACCATGCGGCCCTGAGTGCTCAGATCCAGCTCAGCCAAAGTGCACGCACTGAACGTCTGTAGCGAAGACTGACTGCCGGTCAGGCTGTGTTGCGGCTAGAAATGTGTTGGATGTAGTCTGCGTGGGAGACTCCCACATCTCGCGGTTCCGTGCCAAACTCAGGAAGGATGTTGGGAGCACTCATATCTTTGCTTGCTCGACTTGCTGGGCGCCCGGGTTTGAGAGATGCAAAGGACTGACCCTTCCGCGCGAGGCATGGAACGACTCGTGAAACTCAGGCTCGAACATGCCAATACAGAGCAAAGAGAAAGACTGTCCGTCATCATGGCTCGCAACTGGGTGCTTAGACAAATCTACCTGTCGGTCTTGCTTGCCAGTGGTTTTCAAAACCATGGCTACGTCGCAGCTCTTTTTCCCGGCTTCTCCAACCGCCACCTCCAGGGTAGCCAAAAAGCGAGCAGGGAGAAGGGAAAAGGGCTGAGGGAGCACGTCTCCTACCTCCTTGCTTGAACCTCCATCAAAAACAACACTTTGCTTGCCTCGAAAGACCCAGAAGCCGCCCAAAAAGCGCCAGCGAGCTCGGGCTTTTGGTCCCAAAAAAACAAGAAAAACGAGACGAGAGTATCATCCTAGGTGGATCCCATACCTCACGGATCGAAACCCTGGGTGAAAAAGATTAGCGGCAGATGCAAGCACCACGACGTTTGAGCAACCCCTCCAGCAAAGGCATGGCAGGTAACAAAGACAAAGAACAATTAGAAGAGAGAGAGAGAGAGAGAGAGAGAGAGAGAGAGAGAGAGAGAGAGAGAGAGAGAGAGAGAGACACGTTAAAATAAGTCGATACTTTACTACAAGTGCAACTGTTGTTCTTGCTGTCACAAACACAAATGTAGTTTCCCAGCATGCACTCTTTTCCTTGTAGACTCAAGGCCTGCGGTCGGGTAGTGTACATCATGCATGTACAAGAGACAAGTAGTACAGCATGATATTTGACACGGCCCCTTGGTTAAAAGACCCTGTAGTGCCTTTTTAACCATATCCAGAAAGGGGAAAAGTGCAAAGGGCTCAAAGTAGTTTTGACTGCAAAAGGATCGAAAGTAGTATAACTACAACTCTGCTGGCTGTAGTCCGCTGACTCTCAAAGATCAAAAGAAAACTGTAGTATGTACAGGCTGCTCTCAGTAGCTCTCCTGTTCAGGCCTCAGTTGTGGTGCTGAGTGGAGTTCATGAGATACATCCTGATGCGGTTTGGACCTGGAGGTCCAAAGTTGTAGTGAAGCTGTGGTGCTGACTGATGTAGCATCACCTGTAGAAAGGTGTGCTTAGTCCAACGCTGGACTCTGTAGCCTTGTTGTTGACCAGTGCGGCGAGTAAGGAAGTCAGGGCCTCCTCGAAGACAAGTGTAGTTGATCTCTGGAGGTGGAAGTGGTTGTTGAAATGTAGTGAGGAGTTTGTGTAGTAGTAGTTTGTGTTGCATGGGAAGATTTGTGGCAGTGAGTAGTGTGAAGCCGTAGTACGTGGAACTCTTGTGCATGATGGTGTTGATTGCTTTGTAGTGGTGATCCTGTAGTTGTTGTGGTTGGTCGTAGTAGCTGAGTAGTTCAGGAAGGTGAAGAGGCATGTGGTAGTTCCAGATGTAGTTGTTGGACAGGTTGAAGGTAGTGGTGATCTGGTTGTAGTTGCCGAGTGGGTAGGTGATGTTGGCCAATGACTGACACCGTGTGACTCAAGTAGTCACGCGAAAAGTTGATGAGGTGGCCGCTGCTGATGTAGTGTAACAAGATTTCTTGAGGGAGATGTAGTCGAACAATGATCATGGAGTTGGTGTGTGATGTGGTGAGGTGTAGGGAAGTCGATGGCAGGTTGTGGATTGGCCGTTGGTAGTCGAGGTCTGGCATTGGCGTGGTCTGCTGTTGGCTGAGTAGTTGATACTCCTCCAAGGTCAGCCCCACATAGACCTCAGCGTAGTTTTGTCCCTGATCCACAGTTGGAGTGTGAATGCTGTCGTACTCGACAGTAGTAAGGTGGTTCAGGATGTCATCGGGCCTGTAGAATGGCGCAGTGGTCGGTAGTTGGTGGTTGAAGTGGTAGTTGAGGGCATTGTAAGCCTCAGGCGGCGGAGGTGCCACAGAGACCATGCTGCTGGAATCTGTAGTGGATGGTTGGTTTGGTGGTGTCGAGACTCGGTCAGGTGTAGTAGTACCAATCTGCTGCGCTGGCACAGTAGTCTCAGACGCGGTCGTAGTTGCATCCATGGGTCCAGACATTGCTGGTAGTGCGATCGAGCAAACGAGGTGAGACGGGGCAAAGTAGTGAGCCAAATGGTAGCTCACAAAAACACATGCGGGAATGTAGTAAAACAAAACAACATGTAATGTTGTCCCAAGCCGCCAAACGTGTAAGTGCAAATTACTGGTGGTTACAATTACTGTGACTTGTAGTTACTGTTACTGTTACTGTTGCTTACATGCAAGTATTTACATATGGCCATATACAAACTGTTGTGGTTGATGTGAAACAGTTGTTGTTCGTAGTGCTAAACGCGTATGCCAATGCTCTGTATGAGCCTCTGTAGTGTTTCGTTGCTGATGTATTTTGTGAACAAGTCTGAGCTGTTGTGCAGTGTGTTGATTTTGAGAATTCGGATGATGTCGTGCTTGATGAGGTCTTGTGTGTAGAGAAATTTGAGGTCGATGTGTTTCGCTCGTTTGCTGGTGCCTTGTCGTGTAGCTATGCTTTTTGCCTGCTGTGGAGTCTGTGTGAATGCGTAGGTTGAGCTTGCTGCAAATGTTGGTTTCAAGTAGGAAGTTCCTGAGGTGTAGCCCCTCATTAACTCCTGTACATATTGCGTAAAGTTCTGATTCTGCTGAGCTTAGTGCTATTGTAGCCTGTGTTCTGCTGCCGAATGCAACTGTAGTTCCAAGGAAGTGGATGTTGAAACCTGAAGTGGACTTCCTGGTAGTAGGGCATCCTGCCCAGTCGGCATCGACATGAACGTCGAGATCCAGGATGCTGTTGGTGTTTGCTCTGAGTGTTGTTGTTGGTTCTATGGTGAATTTGTAGTGCTTGGTGCCGTGAAGTTGCGTAGTAGATGTTTGACTCTCTTTTGTGAAAGTTCTGTAGGTGCTGTGAGGTCTCGCGCTAGTTCTTTTGTGGAGTATGCAATGTCTGGTCGTGTGTATGCTAACCATTGAAGTTTGCCAACAATCCTTCTGTACCTTTTGTGTTGTTCGTGGTCAAGTAGCGCTTCATCTTCTATTGTTGGTTTGTAGTGTGCAATTCCTGGAGTGTTCACCGAGTTGCAGTTGTTCATTCCAGACTCCTCGATCATGTTGTCGATGTAGGAGTCCTTGAGTCCAAGATTGCAGTAGTTGCCAAAGTGGTGGATGTTTCATCCAAGAAATTGTTGTGGTTTGCCAGGTTCGAGGTAGCCAATGTGCTTGAGTAGTACCTGCTTCTGGATGGCCTCGAAGGTGGAGTCGACAGTAGTCTTGTCACCAAGTACCAAGAGGTCATCCACGTAGACCATGATGTAGCAGTCGCGAGTCGCATTGGTGTAGACGTTAGGTTTTGACTTTAGTCTTACACAGCTGAGCTTTTGTAACACTTCAGCCAGGTAGTCCTGCCATGCTTTCGGTGAACTGCGTAGTCCATACATGGCTTTCTTTAGTCGCCAGATTTTGTCCTGCTGTGGACAAAGTTCTTTAGGTGGCCAAAGGTAGACGTCACGTTGTTTACCGTCGTGGTCTTTTGCGATGGGTGTAGAAATGCTGTAGAGACGTCGCCTAGTCGCGCTATCCAATTTGGTCGTGACATTTGTAGTGCGAGAAGTGTCCGGAGTGTCGTGAACATTGGTGTAGAGGCGTAGACGGAGTCTTCGTCCTCGATCTTCTCTGTGTAGCCTTTTGTGACGATTCGGCTTCGTACTCCTGGTCCTTTCTTTCTGTGTACCCATCTTGTAGGCGTCGCTTCTCTGATGACGTTGTCGTCGACGGTAGACGCATCTACTTCGTCGTAGACGTCATGTAGCTTCATCTGGTTTGACTCGTGTTTCATCCCTTCCAGTTGTGTTTCGTCGTAACCCTCGTTGTCAAAAATTATGGGCTGGTCTTCTGAGGTGTCGTCGTTTGTGTAGGGGGTGATGGTTTTTCCGTTGGGAAGTGTCACTGCGTTAATTGTCTGTCGTAGTGGTGGTGGTTCTTTGGTTGCTTGCTCCGTTGATCTGATTGTAGTGTCCTTTGGGGTCTTCTGTGCTTTAGTTGGTTGCATTACTTCTTCCGGAGTTAAACGTCGTAGTGTTTGTCGAGGATGTTGTCGTCCGGTTGGTGAAGTAGCCATGGGGCTATCTGGTAGCGGTCGTGAAGTTGACGTCGATGTTGACGGAAGGCGTGGAGGTGACGTAGTGCGTTGTTGTTTCGTTGCTGGTTCGGCAACGATGTCGTCTGCGATGTTGGTCTGTTGTCCTGCGTCTTGTGTAGGTTGTTTCTGCTGGATTTGCGTATCCAGTAGTGTCGCAAATGACGGATTGTACATATTACCTTGTGGTGCCCAAGGTGTACCTGAGACCTTGTTTAGTAGTGCAAGGTCATATTTGAAGTCAGGTTGTAGTCGTCTGACTGTCCTTGCTTTTAGTACGCCTTGTTCTGTTGCGACGTAGTTTTCTCCAGTCTCCGAAACCTTTCCGAGCCATATGCATTTCTGCATACGTAGATCGGCTTTCGGAAGTTTCTTGTGCTGTGGTGGAAGGTAAAGTAGTGTTTCGCCAGATTCGCAAATTGCTCGCTCGTAGTTTCTTCCCCAGCGGCGTTCGAAGCTTGTGTAGCCATCGGAGTGGATGACGTAGCGATTTACAGTCCATGCTGCGTGTCGTACTATCCAAGGTGGTAGACAATGCTTTGTGGACATTGAAATGCTGTAGTTGCTTTCAACTTGCGCTTTGACGACGCGGATTTGTCCGAGAAGTGTTCTATGTAGTCGCTCAACGCTTCCTTGACTGTTGCTGCTGTAGGATGGTGAATGTCGTACAGTCATTGAGCCGACTTTGGATGCTGTTGCTTTTAGTAGTGCATTGAGTGTGTCCTCGTTGTCGCTTTGTAGTATGCCTTGTGTTCTTCCGCATTCAAAGATGAATGCTTGTAGGTTGTTGATCATGTAGTCTGTCTTTCCCAGTAGTCTTGGTTGTCTTCTTGTGCCGTTGGTGGTCGATGTATCGTTGGTTTTGCTTGCGTAGTGCCCAATTCTATGGATGGAGCTGCTTTGGGTCTCCATACCTTTGGTGGAGTTCGTAGTTGTAGTTTTGATTTTGTCGTAGGTGTCTCTGTTGTAGGTTGTGGTGCTGAGCTTTGTCGTGGTGGTGTTGTCTTTGTAGTCAGCCTATGTGTAGATGTGACTTTTCTTCGGAATCTGGTTTCTCCAGTCCAGTCATCACCTTCGAGTCTTCTTTATAGTTCCTGTTTTAGAAAGTTGTTTGGTGTTCTCTTGTAGTTGCTCTTGTTCTTGCCCTTGTCTATTGATGATGGTTAGTCGCCAATCATCTAGTTGTTCTTCTGGTATTGGGCATCCGTTGTTGTGTGGTGTGAACAGTGCTTTGCGCGGTCGTTTGTGGATTCGGATGGCGTAGTCACCATCGAGTTTCCAGTAGTCAGTGTTTCCACCAAGGATTCGTCTTAGTCCTTGGTCTGTGTGAGTTAGTGTTGTTGTTTTGTCGCATGCGTAGGCTGGATTACAGCAATGGATTTTCCATTGCCTGTAGTCATTGGGTAGATGTCGTGTCCTGTAGGTATGTTGATCTTCTCTGCTCGTAGGTAGAAAAGTCCTGAGTGCCGAATAAGCTGTGCTTGTTGTTGTCCATGTGAGATAGTGCAGTGTCTCGGGTTGAAGTCCAGTCCATATCCTCTATCAAGTAGTCTTGATGCACTGAGGATGGGGTACTTCACACCACAGACGTAGTAGGGCATCATGATCCTGAAGTTGTCCTGCTCGTAGGGAACGTACTTGATGCCGTAGACGGGGATCTTCTTGTTGGTCACGGTGTAGAGTTGTGGAACTGATTCTCCACAAGGTCGTAGTGGAAGATCCGGTGCGTAGTCCTTTGGGCAAACATGTGTAGACGCTCCTGAGTCAATCAG